CCAGTGCAGTGGCCCACGGCCTCCTTTCGACCCTGTGGGAACTGCTGCCGGGGACTGGGGCGGGAGGGACAGGTCGGGTTGGCGTGAGAGCAGGGGTTCTCAAGAGGAGGCTGCTGTCTGTGGAGCCTGGGTGGGTGCAGGGCCGCCCTCGGGGGCCCAGTTCCAGGGTCCGGCACGCACGGCCTGCGCTCCGGCCTGGGCCCTCCTGCTGGAACGCACTCTGGCTGGCCTTGTTCTCTGTCCTGTGGGTGGGACCTTGGGGGTCTGATGGGCAGGTGGACGTGGGCTGAGCCAAGAGCAGCGGCTACTAAGAGGCTGGCCCTGGTGGGCACTGCCAGTCCATACTCCCAGGATGGCACACGGTTCTCTTGCCCACGGGCTGAAGGCCAACACTTTCTTGCCAATGTGCTGCTTGGTATTTAAGTGGCATGACTGGACCGGTAGGCCCTGTCCCCAGCCGGCCTCTGACAGTGTAGAGGTGGCCTGAGTGCTCTGCGTTTCCGTTTTCCCTTAATCACTGTATATAACCTATGTTTTATGTTTGTCCACACATCCTTCATGCTGGGTGGGGCTGGAGCGTGGGCTCTGGCGGGAAGCCGGTCTGAGTCCACACAGCAGGATCCACGTCTGGGCGCCCTTCTGGGGCCACACTGAACCTGGCTTCCTCTGACCCAGGCCGCGGGGCGTGGGTGGCTGTTCCTGAGGCAGCTGTTCACGGCCCCCTCTGTTTCCAAGGCTGCCGGAGGGCCAGGGGTACCAGAGCAGCTCCGTGGACCAGAGCTTCTGGGAGACCTTTGGGAACGCCGACCCCGCCAAGGCCCACAGGTCCCCGAGCAGTGACAGCTGGACGTGCGCCGACGCCTCGGCCGAGAAGCGGAGTTCGGACAGCTGGGATGTGTGGGGCTCGGGCTCCGCGTCCAACAGCAAGAGCAGTGACCACAGCGACGTGGGGGAGGCCTGGGGGGGTGGCGGGGAGGGCAGGGCCAAGGCCACCAGGAAGCCGGCGCCCCCCACCACGCAGGTGGATGAGGGCTGGGACAACCAGGACTGGTAGGCCCCTGGCCCTTGGGCGGCCGTGTATGACTTGGCTCTCATGTGCTTCCTTCCATCTGACCCAAGAAATCCCAGCTGCAGTGTGAAGACAGCGCCTTGGGCGGGACCCTGGGGGTGGTACTGTTGGCCCGCATGGGGGACTCAGCACGTGGGGCCCTGTGCGCCACGGCCACAGCGGGGCAGAGGTCTGGCCGCTGTCCTGCCATCTGGTGTCCCCTCCTGGGTTTGCAGGCGCCGTCCAGGGCAGGGCCCCGCTGCAGGCTGGTGCAGTTATTAAACACCCTCCCGAGTGCTGTCTGCATCGGTGACGTGAGACGTGTGTGTCCTTATCTCCTGTGTCTGCTCGAGTTCTCTTTTCGTAGAAAATGCCCGAGGTTTTAGAGACAAATGCTGAAATTTTGCCATAGCAGAGCTCCCACTGCCATCTGACCCCCACCCCAACCCGAGCTGTTGTCAGCGCTTGGACTCAGCTGTGCCCGCTGAGCCAGCTCGGACAGCGCCGAGCACAGTGTGGCCTGCACGGCAGGCAGGCCCAGCACCCTCCAAGCCGGGTTCATTCCCTGCCAGGCCCGGGGGCCACGACAGCAGGGTGGGCTCCCCAGGGCCTTTGTGGGCCATCACCAGGCAGGGGCTAGGCCACGCCCCCCTGGATTCTGCCCATCGGTGCTCTGAGGTGCAGCCAGCACGACAGTGTGCCTGGTGGCCACGCCTTAGCAGCTGGGAGTGAGTTTGCATCTGGTGGGTCCCACCACTCTGCCCGCATGGCGTTAGCTGTCCGCACTGGCTGGCCTCTCGTCTCTGCCTTTTTGATCTCATCTTGTCAGAGCCTCCTGGCTTTAAGCCACTGTGTTCCCACAGTCATGCCATAATGGGGTGCCCGGTTGCTCCCTTTGGTCTGTGGCGCAAGGCAGTGGTCAGTCCTCGTGCCCACCCCTTCTGCTGACCCTCGTGTCACTCATCCAAGCTTTGACCAGGTGCATTGTGTCCCAGGGGCTGCCTGGGACTCCCCGGACCCTGTGCCTGGGTTAGCAATGGCCACACGGCCTCTGCGCCCTCCACCCAAGCCTGCGTTCTGAAGCCACTGAGGAAAGTGTGGCCGAGTGGAGGGCTGAGTTGGAGCCGTGGTCTCGTGGGCCGTCATGTCCCAGGCGGTGCTTCAGGGTGGGGCAGGGCTGTCCTGCAGACACTGTCCTGGCTGAGCCCCAGTCGCCCCACTCCACCTGACTCACTGGCCAGTCAGGCCTCTGCCTCGGGACAGCTGGGTGGGAGACAGGACCAGCCAGAGTCAGCCTCCAGGAGGCCAGGCTGACCCAGGACCCGCATGTCCACCACCAGGTTAAGTCTCCTGGCCAGCCTCCACCGTGTCTGCCCCAGGCCCCTGCCCAGTGCACAGGACTGGCCAGCAGACACGCCTCAAGGCCAAGCCCTTGCTCAGCTTAGGTTCCTTCCTGGAACTTGCTCCCGAGCAGCGATGGTCTGTGCACCCTCCCCCTTTGCACATCCATCCACCTTTGCTGCCGCCCTGTTGAGCAGCCGTTCCCAGCCAGGTGGCCATGCCAACAGGTCTGCACACCCAGCCGCTGAGACTCTGCTGGGATCCCACACCCGAGCCAGGGCGGGTCAGAACGGGAGCTCCTGGGGCCACATCCCCCCTTGCACCTGACGGGAGGGGTACGCAGTCAGGAGACTGACTGTTATGCTGTCCCCAGAAGGCAGACGGCTCTTTCTTAGCAAGGGACCAGTACCTGGTTCTGTCCTGCCCTTTCTCAGCTGTGACCAGGACAGCTTGTGCCCTGGCCGAGCCCTGACTGCTCGGTGGCTCTCGGGGCGGTGTCATGGGCGTGCAGCTTGCTAGGTGCAGGTACTCTGGCTCAGGCACACACATGAGGGGTGGATGGGGTCCAGCCAAGAACGCCGAAGACCTGATGGTCTTGTGTGCGTGAGGGCACATGTGTCCCAAGTGACCGTGACCTGCATCGGGAGTCTGGCCACCAGGCCAGGCTCCCTCTACTGGCCACTTCCCGGGTCTGCGGAGCCCTTGGATGGGCAGCCTGGGTCCCAGGACGTACCCCTGCACCTGTCAACACAAGTGTCCTGTATCTGTCGGCTGGACACCATGGGTCCTCAGGCTTGGGTGGCTCCCACGTTATGGCACGTCACAAGTCCTGGAGCTCCTCTTGTCCTGAGGCACTCCGGTCAGGAGCACCGACCACCAGGATGAGAAGCTGGGCTCGTGATATGAGACCTGGGGGCAAGGTGGGCTTCTGGGCTTCAGTTTCCTCGCCCAGGCCTGGGGCTGTGGGGCCCTGCCAGCAGCGTTCCCAGGCTTCAAGCTGGTGGACCCGCCAGCAGGGGCGAGGCAAGGGGGTCTGGGGCGAGAGATGAGCCCCCGACCTCTGCCCACTGACCTCTCCCAGCCTCCCGCGAATCTCACTTCAGCCTGAGGGCCCGTGCTGTGTGCCCGCCTCCCCCAAAGCACCTCTGCCTCCAGAAACAACCCAGAGCAGCCCCCAGCCCCTGTGGGCTCCTGGCAGCCTCTGAGACCACCCAGAGGTCAGGTCTGCCCACCCCTCAACTACCTGGGCGGGGGCGGAGCCTGGTGGGTGCCTGGGTCCCAGGCTGGGCACCCCCTCCAAGTACTTGTTGCCAGGTCGGCCAGGCGGTGGGGCCGTCCCCTTCGGGGTGGGAGGGCATGGGAAGGGACTGAGCTTGTCTGAGTGTGCAGACCAGGGAGCATTGTAGAGAGGTGGCCAGCAGAGAGCAGGCTTGGTGGGGAGGGGGACAGTGGGAGCCTGGGCCCTACAGACCACTGCAGAGACTCAGCAGCTCGGGTTTGGGGTCCTGACCCTGGGGAGGGGGTGCAGGCTGGTGTGGCCCCAGAGTCCAGGTGCTGGTCCAGGCTGCCCCCATGCCAGACCCCCAGTGCCCATCACCCACATCGTAGCGTCCGGGGCCATGTCCCTGTACTGCCTTCCCCCTGGGCGCCTCTCTGGGGCAGACCCTGTGGAGTGAGGTGTTTGGCCAGTGCTGTGCTTTCCCTGACATGGGATCCCTGCCCTGCCATCAGAGGGGGTCCTTCACGCTGGGACCTGTGTCCCTCGCACTCTTAGAGGGACATCTTGCAAAGACAGCCAGGGGAGGGGAGGAGGCCAAGGGGTGGGCCAGGGGGTGGGCTGGGGCAGTGACGTCAGAGGGAAGGGGCCCTCACGAGCCCTGGCCTCCCTGTGGCCGCAGCAGCACCAGAGTGGACCTGAGCATTCAGGGAGCACAAGACGCTACCCTTGGAGCAGGAGCAGGTTGGTGACTCGCCTGTGGTCATGGGGGCTGGGTGAGGAGGACCACCAGGGATCCGCCCAGGTCTGTGATCTGAGGATGACTTGTCCTTTCAGAAAGGGTGGGTGGAGCTGACCTGAGGTAGGCCTAGGGCTCCTGTTCACAGCCATGATCCCGTGCCGCTGGAAAGGGTCCCGAGTCGGGACCATTTCCTGGGGAGGGGCGCCCCAGAAGGCTCCCCCAGGACCCCAAGCCCACCTCTGTGGGCCCCCCCCCACCCTGCTGAGCAGCTGGGAGGCTGGTGCGCTGCCACTCCCGAGAGGTTCTTAAACTGGGGACCCCACCCCATCTCAGCTCTGACAGCGGCCACCCCAGCCTGGTCTAGTGATGAATGGGAGACGAGCAGCGGCCAGGACCCGAGCTGCCCTGTGGAGAGCATCCTGAGGGTGGCATGTGGGACCGAGGCTGTGACAGAGCCAGGCATGTCTGGGGTGTGGGCCGCAGGGCAGCTGACCTGCTCCAGGAAGCTGCTGCCAGGGTCTTCACACCTGCACGTGTAGGTGCCCGGCGTGGGCTCAGCCTCACCCACGGGGGTGTGGATGGAGACTGGCTCTGTGGTCAGGAGGGGTGGGCAGACAGGGCTGAGCGGCCTCTCTTTCCACAGGGCACGCACCATGAGTGCCCCCGTGCGTCCCCACCTGGAGGTCTGCCTCTGGCTGTGGTTGGGTGTCACTCTGGGACGTGGTCAGGGACAAGGTAAGGACATGGGGTGAGGGCTTTCTGGAAATTGGGCCTCCGCTCGGCCCCTCCTGGCCTCACAGCAGCCGCCTGGACCACAGCGGCCGGGGCAGAGGCCCCACGGCAGGACCAGCCTTCCGCCTCCCGCTCTCGACCCCCAGTGGCGGCTGCTCCCGGTGGACAGACAGGACCAGACAGCCCCAGGGCTCATCTGGGCTCCTCTGCTCAAAGCCTCGCTCCAGCTCTCTGCTTGATCTTTGGCCTTGTGACCTTTCACCACGTCTAGTGGATGCTTCTGTGTTCTGGTTCGGTTTTTTTTAAACAGATATCAGCACTCTGTGCACTTAATTTTCTGTTGTTAATATTTTGTTTTTAACTATTCCATGGATGCCTTTTCCACGTAAATTTTTCATTCAGCACAAATCTGCAGTAAAAGTGAGTCCCCAGCACCAGGCGTTGGCTTCCAGCACCTCCCCAGGTCACTTCAGGCACGTGCAGGGGTCACAGTTCACACCAGCTTCTGCCCCCAGCCCCTCTGTGTGGCGTCGCGTTCCCTCTCATGCCTGTTGGTGGCGGTGCTTTGTCCAGCGTGGGGACGTTTCAGTCCAACTGCTGCCTGTTGGGCATTGTTGGCATTTCCCTTTCAGGGTAACATTCATTGCGGTGTCTTTTGTAACACCCCGAAAGGGACACATCTTGGCTGAGCTTGTCCCACAGAGAGCTGGGTGAGACCGGTGCTGGGAAGCAGTCTCTGTGTCCCAGGTACTCAGGCTCTGGTCACACAGCGAGCTGGCTTTGCCCCCAGCCATGTGGGTCCCTGGCTCATGCCAGCTCCCACTGGGTGACGTGAGGGCAAGAGACCGCATCGCATCACGGTCCGAAGCTGCACTCCTGCATTGCCTCTGAGGTCTAACATCAGGTCCGAAGAATGCTTCTCCTCCGGGGGCATCTGGCAGCCAGGCCAGCGGGGATCCCCGACCTGATAACTGCATTCTTATTTTGTGGCATGTCTTCTGTTTTGTTTCACACCCAGGTTGGTGACTGCCACCTGGGTGGGTCCCTCAGTCACTGTGACTCTGACAGGACCACCCCAAGGTGGGACCAAGTCATGAAGTGACCCCATGACAGGGCTGGGCTGCCCCTCAGCGGGTCCCTGCAGGCTCTGGGTTGACCTGTGGTTGGTGGGCCCGTGTGTCAGGGCAGCCCTTCCCAAGGCTGGGCCTGGGGAGGGGGTGCTCCTGGCGAGCCCCTAGCTGTCTTCGCAGCACCCTGCCTAGGCCCCCAACATGGGGTCCCCAGAAGGCAGCCCGGGGTGCCTCCCCAGCACAGCAGAGGCACAGTGACACACAGAGGGCTCTTCATGAGCCAGAGCTGGGACCCCTGCTCACAAGGGGCCTTTCAGAGCCCCTGTCCCCCAAACAGGCCTGCCTTTCAGCCCGACGCCCCAGGGGAGCAGCCGGCCCACCAGAGACCGGCTCAGCTGCTTCGCTCTCTGAAGCCAGCATTGTGTCTGCCCGGGGCACCCCGGCCCCCCCCTCCTCCCCACACCCCTGCTTCCAGTGGGACATCCAGGAGAAGCCTGTCTCTGTCCCATTTTCCAAAAATAGCTGCTTCCGCCGTGCAGCTCCCGGATGCTTCTCTGGGGGGCTAGGCCATGCCCTAGGGGACCCGACCCCATGGGGCTGTGTGAGCCCAGCTGTGACCTTGGCAGCTGGGGGTCTCCTGCTCCCCACTTGGACTCAGACTCCGGCAGGGAGGTGCAGGGCTGCTCCAGGGCCTGGGGTGGCAGGGCGGGTACGGCCTCTCCCGGACGCCGCCTGAGCCTCACTAGGCCAGACTCGGGGGAGCAGCCCCTCTTCCTGGAGCTGTCAGGTGGCCCTGGTGCCTCAGACGGTCCTCTCCAGCCCTGGGTTGGGCCTCCTCTTCTCAAAGTCCCCTCAGTGGGGCCATGGGCCCCTCTGACCCCCCAATGGGGCAAAGGCCTCCGTACACCACTCAGGGTCAGTCCCCCTGGCCCCCAACAGCTGTTTGGGATGGTCGTTGGGGGTCAGTCCTGACCGTCCTGTCCTGTTTCCCCAGCGAGCGGCCGCCTGAGGCTGGCCGTGCTGCCCGAGGACAGGCTGCAAATGAAATGGAAGGAGTCGGATGGGAGTGGCCTTGGTTACCTGGTGCAGGTGAAGCCCATGGCAGGTAAGGGCCTGTGCCCGTCCACCTCTGTGAGGACGGGCAGTGACGGGGCCCAGCACAGTGGCTGCTGTACCTGCCCCTGCGTCTCAGCATCTGCACATCTGTGTGACTCTGCCCCCCACCCCAGACCGTCTGCCCTGCCGTGTGCGTGCATAGCAGAAGGGCTTTAATTTCCCACGACTGGCTCCACCTGGACCTGCACTGGGGCAAGGCACCCGCCACATCTTCTGACGAAGCAGTGAATCCCTGTGGGGCTTAGAGCCCGTCCAGCGGCTGAGCGGACCGGGGGTGGCATCTGTCCACAGTGCGAGCCCTGGAGTTTTGCGGGGTGGGGTGGGGGTGGTGAGGGTGCCTGAAGGCCTAGCACGGGCTGGCCACAGAGCACTGCCAACGCGACCACGGCGTGTTAAAAGCTGGAAGCAAATCCCACAGATGTGTGCAATTGCAGGACGTAGGCTGAGGGTGTGAACCTGAGCTCGGCCCCCCACCCCCCGGGGTGAAAAGGAGCCTGTCCTTCGGCCCCTGCCAGCCCCAGCTGCCCTCCGCTCCCAAGAATGACACGTGATGTGGGTGTAGCTCTGTTTTCATTAAGCCACATTCATTTCCCTCGTTTTTCAAATCTTTTATATCTTCTTTCCCAGTTTTACTGAGAAGTAACGTGGGATGTGAGGGTTTGGTTGATACATGTTGTGGAATGATCACGGCAGGTTCAGCCGACATCCGTTGTCTCTAAAGATACTCGTACAACAGAAAGAAAAAAGTTTTCCTTGGGCTGAAAACTCTCTTAACTACTTTCCTATGTATCCTACAGCAGGGTCGGCTGCCGTCACCGTGCGGCCCGTCACAGCCCGACCCTCACTCGCTGCACCTTTGGACCACCTTCCTCCAACTGCCCCTCCCCTCCCCTCTGCCTCTGGAAACAAGTCCCATCTCTTTTTCCGAGAGTTTTCTTTTGTTTGTTTGTTTTAGGTTCCACATGTTAGTGAGATCATACATTGTCTATCTGTCTGACCCATTTCACTTAACGTGACTCCTTCAGGGTCCATCTACAGTGTCACAAATGGTGGAATTTCCTCGCTTTTTATGGCCAAGTGATACTGTATCTCACACACTGTGCTGTCCTTACCCATCCACCTGTCGATGGACACCCAGGCTGCTTCCGTGTCTTGGCTGCTGTGAATAGCGCTGCTGTGGACACGGGTGCAGGTGTGTCTGACACAGTGACTGAGTTTCCCTCTGATGAACACCCACGACTGGGATCGATTCTTTTGATCTGCGTATCCTATCGGTTCCTGAGACTGTGGCTGTAGACGCGTCTTTCTCTGGCTGTCTTACCAGTCTTTGCTTTAGACATCAGGGCCCTGCTGTGAGGTGCATGCACATCGAGAACGATTGCATCTTCCCAGTGCGCTGAGTCTTTCTGTCGCGGGGGCCCCCCCTCTATCTCCCCAGTAGGGTTCTCACGCGCACTGGTGTTCATGCCATCGTGCTGGCCTGGGCGCTGTTTGCACTGAGTACACGTCCACTCACTCCGCCTTCCTCCAACCTTTCATTCGAGAAGCATCTTCTAAGGGGCATAGAATTGGTATTGTTTTCGTCCAGTGTGACAATCTTTGCCTTTTAATTGAAACATTTCTTTCCATTTCTATTTAATTTCCATTGCATTTAATTGCCGATATGTTTGGGTTTAAATCTACCATCTTCCTTTTTTTTTGGTTACATTTGTTGTACTTTTCTCCTTTCTTGCCATTCTTCGCTGCCCTATGGGCTCTCAGCCTTCAAGCAGAGTCTTAAAAATTGCTCTTTCCAGTTTTCCTGCCCCTCGCAGCCGGAGAGCTGCCCCCCGTGTGGTGTGGATGGCGGGCAGGCATCTGTACAGGAGTCGCTGGGATTGTACAGCCATGAGCTGCTTGTGATGTTTCATGTTCAACCTTTCAAACAGCCATAGCTTCTTTTAAAAATAATGAGCCTGCAAGAGTGCATGGGGCACGTGGGATTAAGACTTTGTTCTTGTCGCCGAGGCTCTGGTTGCATGAAGTCAGCATCCAGCACATGGCAGCTGGGATGGTGTGGGCACCCAGGCTGGGCAGCCTGCATGTGGGCGTGAATCCCACTCTCTGTGCTTGTCAGTCACACATCTGTGCAGGCGGGCTCAGGGTTCGGACAGACCTGGACTGACGTCCTGATTCTGTCCTTGAGTAACTGGGGCTTGGCTCAGCTCCCGCCTGCAAAGTGGGGTAATGGGTTGGTGAAAATTACGCAGCTTGCTACACATGAAGGGCCCAGGTAGCTGCCAGGCACCCAGTGAGTGCTCAGTGGTAACCACAGTACCCGCTCAGTGGCGCCCGTGGCCTCACCCCACTTGTCTGTCCCACATCTGCAGCGCGGCTGGGCCCTGGGCGAGGTAGCCACGCCAGCTTTCCCTCTAGGGGTGGGAGCACAGGTCCTTTCTGCTTTCTTACATTTGACACTGGAGGGTCACCAAGACATTCCTGACGTCGGACTGCTGTCTGTCTGGTCTGTTCCACGGATGTGTCCTCTGAGAACAGGGCAGTGTCCCTTGGAATCATTTGTTTGTTTTTATTTTTATTTATTTTATTTCATTTCATTTTTTAGCTGAGCCATCCTGCCACCTGTTGGCAGCTGTTGGCAGCTCAGCTCAGGCCGAGAGTCGAACTGGTGACCCTGTTGCTCAGAGCTCAAACTCTTGAGCGAGCTCTTAACCAACTGAGCCACTCGGCCAGCCCCATTTGTTTGTTTTCAATACTTGAAACCCAGCCCCCAAGTTTGGACTCCTGGAGTCACAGAGCAGAAGGTGGTTAGAGGTGGGCTGGCATCACGCCATCCAACCACCCGTGCACAGGTGGGTGGGGCCCGGTGCCCCCTGTCACCCTCTCTCCCTGCACCCTCACGCGTCCCCCAGGCTGTTGAGCTGAATTCTCACCAGGAGAAATCCACCTGGGAGGGCTTGGTAAAGGACACAGAGATACATTCTCTCAATTTGCATCCCAGGAGTATAGTCCCTCCCATCACGTCCTACAGGGGAGCACGGGGTGGGGAAGAGGAGGCACCTGGGGGATTTCTTACTCCCTGACACACACACACATAGGCAAGCATGCACACGCACACACATGTACACACACATGTACACACGTGCGTGCACACACACACGTGTGCACGCGCGCACACATGCACATGCACACACATGCACCCACCCACTTTGGTGGCCTAGACAGCTCTTCCTAACCCCACCCAGGAGACTCGGAACAGGAGGTAATGCTGACCACCAAGACCCCCAAGGCCACGGTCGGGGGCCTGAGCCCCTCCAAAGAGTACACCGTGCAAATCTTCGAGCTCACTGGCTCAGGGAATGTCCTGCTGGCTCACAGGGAGTTTGTGAGTAAGTCTGCTGTTTTCCACGTGGAATTCCAGCCTCTGGGGGGTGAGTGTGTATGGAAAGGACCTCTGGGCTGGGAGCCCTGGGCCTGAGTTCTGCCCAGGAGGCTTGCTTAGAGCTCCTGAGACCCCTGCCTGCCTCCTAAGGGACCGGAAGACCCATGGAGCCCAGGGTGTGTCCTTGTAGGGAGGGTTGTGCATGCAGGTCCCCCAGGCTCCCCAGGCCTCTGCTCCCTCCCTGGGCAGTGGGGTTCTGACAGCCCCTTGCGTTTCTCTGCAGTTGAGGATTTGAAGAGTAACTCCATGAGCAGGAGCAGCCGGAGGACACTGGGGACAGCTCTGGGGCCCATGCCCTCCCACGTGGGGAGCCCAGACCCTGAGCCCCAAGTCACCTTGGCCCCAAGCCAAGACCCGCCCAGTTTGGGTGGGTCAAAGTGGGGTGAAAGTAAGTCCCTGGGGGCAGTGAGTAATCTTTAGCTTCTCACATTTTCTCTCCATGAGCAGAAAGTTCTTCCTCATATCTGACCTCACACTCTCTAGTTTTAACTGAAGCTTGCTTCCCGTTCTCCTGGGTTCTCTCAAACCCACTGGGGGCAGGTCATCCACTGGGGTGTACTTGAGGCCCCAATGCCTGGTCCCACCACCGCGACCCCTCTCAGATGTCCCCTGCCTGAGTGTGGCAGGTGAGAGGTGACACAGCTGTGACTTTCCCGAGGTGTACCCAGCGAAGAGCAGCCTCCCCGCAGAAGCCCCGGGGGGAAGGCCCCTGCTCAGCCCAACCCAGACCTGGAGAGGCAGAGCCACGCCAGGGCTTCCGTGGGAAGGCGAGAGAAGCCAGGTAAAATGGCCAGGGCTCCAAGCTCTGCGGGCTGGCGGGGTGGGGCTGCTGTGTGACCCGGTGCAGGGCAGATAGCATGGCATTTTCTGCACAAGGCCCTGCAGGCAGGGCTGTGCACCCATCAGACATGATAAGGCCCTGACTTTGTCTCCCCCATCAGACTTGGAATGGAAGGAGGTGTCTGCCTCCTCAAATAGGCACAGCACCTCTCACGTGGGGTACTGGGGTCCGGGCCCCTGTTGTCTCCCAGTGGACTTGGGGTCTGCCGGGATGGTCTCCCCACCAGGCAGGGCCTTGAGGACAGGGCTGTGCCTCCCCCATTAGACAGGGTCCCAATGCACCTGCCCTCCCAGGAACCTCCATGTGGAGTCTGACCCTGGCTCTGGGCTCGGCCCTGGCTCTGAGGCGCCGTTTGTGCAAAACTCAGGGAGCTTCAGACCCCAGATGTGGGGGTGGAGGTGGCGAGGCTTTGTCCCCCAAGAGCTCCTGGGTCCTCAGGACTAGCCCCCACCCTAGAGATGAGGTCTCAGCCCAGAGCTGGCCAGTGGGGCTGTCCGTAGCGCTGACCCCACCCATCCCAGTGGGCACAGCCTTGGGCAACCTCTGCCTGCTGGGCCTGGGTGTGGCTGGCCGGCCGGGCAGATGGACCCCCGCATAGCAGCCCCCACATAGACAACCACGTAGTGACGAGCCCTGCCAAGGCCACTGGAGGGCAGAGGCACCCGAGCACCTGGGTGTCTCATTAGCTTTCTTTAGGGAGTTCAGAGGGGCTGAGCCGACGGACCAAGGTCCACATGGGGTTTTCTGATGGGTGAGACCTGAGCATCTTGGGAGTCCCTGCCCCCCAAGGCCCCTCACCCTCCACCAATCTCAGGCAAAGAGCTACTGGGGGGCTGGAGCTCAGCCCAGAGCCGCCTGGCGTCCCACAGGGGCGGCGGGCCTCGCCCACACTGCACCTCCCTCCCCGCCCACCCAGCCGGGCCCCAGTTCCGCTGCATGCCCCCCACACCTGCGGACATGATCTTCCTGGTGGACGGGTCCTGGAGCATTGGCCACAGTCACTTCCAGCAGGTCAAAGACTTCCTGGCCAGTGTCATTGAGCCCTTTGAAATCGGGCCGGACAAAGTCCAAGTAGGTGGGTGCTGGCCTTGCCCTGGGCCCCATCCCGGCGGGCCTCACAGCTCCGCATCATCCCCCACGCCGGGTGAGGTGGGGGGGCAACTGGAAGGGGAGCTGCACCTGGCCAGGCCGGGTGGGGGTCCTCACCTGGACTGCTGGCTCCTGGGAGGACATTCTGGCAACTCCCGCGTGTGGAAAGTGGGGGCTTTGCACACATGTGCCCTCCTGGTGCCCCCAGGCGGAAAGGCCGTGTGCGCCAGCCCTCCCCTTGGCTCTCCAGCAGCCACGCCCACCCCCTCCCCAGGCCTGACTCAGTACAGCGGAGACCCCCAGACCGAGTGGGACCTGAATGCCTTCGGCACCAAGGAGGAGGTGCTGGCTGCGGTGCGGAATCTTCACTACAAAGGGGGGAACACGTTCACAGGTCTGCCCCAGCCCGCGCCCGTGCCCCCAGCCTCAGCCATCTGCTCATGGCCGGGCCCTGAACGAAGCCCCTCGCTCCATCCTCACCTTTGAAAACAGCAAATTGCCCTTATTTGTCCTTGGCGAGAATGTGGTTTCTGTGGGGCAGCCACTGAAAACGAGTAGCTCTGAAGATAGAGCTTGTGGGAGGGGCCGCCCGTGGGTGTGGGCGTGGTCTAACTGGAAGCAGCCCCCTCGCGCGTCTGGGGCACAGGGCACAGCCTCCTGTCTGCTCTCACAACCTGGGGCCTCCCTGCTCCCGGGAGGCACCAGCTGCTCAAGCGGCAGGGGGTGAGGTGCCGGCCCTGGGTGTCCTGTGAGCTGGGCCTTTCAGGGGTGGGGAGGAGGGGTCCCTTCCCTCCGAACACCCCAGCCTGGAGAGGCCAGGACTGATATGGCAGGCAGAGCACGTGGGCCGACGGGCTGGTCCAGCGGTGGCAGAGGAGCAGGGCACTGGGAAGGTGCCGTGAGCGGGGCTGGGGCCGCCTGACCTTTATTCTCGCTGTTCCCCAGGCCTGGCCCTCACCCACGTGCTACAGGAGAACCTGAAGCCCACAGCCGGTCCCCGTCCAGAGGCAGCCAAGGTGGTGATTCTAGTGACAGACGGCAAGTCCCAGGACGATGTCCATGCTGCCGGCCGCGTCCTCAAGGATCTGGACGTTGACGTCTTTGCTGTGGGTGAGCAGCCCAGACCCCTGCAGGGTGGGCTCCTAGCACAGGCGGGAGTTTGCACCCCGGCCTCATCCTGGGGTCTCGAGGTGTCTCGGAGCCTCTCGGCCCCAAGTCTGTGATGTGGGAGACGAGACCGCCCTGGGGGCTGGTGACGGAGCACAAGCGAGGACCTGAGCTCCCATGGGGCTTGGCAAGTGGCCCCACAAGCCACTCGCTGGGGATTGGCCGGTTTGCAGCATCGTCTGCAGACATGTCTCTTCCCCCCAACCCCCCAGGGCGCAGCACAGCCTGCGAGGGGCCTTGGGAGGCCTGGCCCCACCTTCACACCAGTCCCAGGCTGCCACCTCTCAGGGGGCCCTGCGGGGTGACCCCGTCTTGGGGTCTGAGGGGGTCTTGTGTGTGGCTTGGAAAGGCCCCCAACCCGCTGGGTGATGGACTCGGCCCCAGTGGCCGGGCTGTACAAAGGAACGACGGTGCCAAGGGGCACCTCTCACCCCCGTGCCCTGTGGGCAGGCGTGAAGAATGCCGACGAAACCGAGCTGCGGCTGCTGGCGTCCCGGCCACTGGACATCACTGTCCACAACGTGCAGGACTTCCCCCAGCTCGGCACGCTGGCCGGCCTGCTCAGCCGCCTCATCTGTCAGCAGGTCCAGGGCAGGAGCCCGCATGGGGGCTCAGGTGAGCAGGCAGGTGGTGACGCGACGGGGAGCCGACCACGCTCACGGCCCCGCCAGGCCCTGTCTGGACACTTTGGGCAGAGAAACAGGGACTGGCTCCTCAAGGAACTCCCTGAAGCCCCTCATGCCCCTGTTCCCATGGCTCCTAGGGGGTCTGCAGCCCCCACCTGGGGAACACCTGTCCTCCCTGAAGTAGCCACCAGGGGGAGCAGGCGGAGCTGCTGACGCCAGCTGCCTGGTGGGTCCCTGGGCCGTCCACCTTTCCTCCCTCAGCTAAGCCAGCAGCTGCCGCTCCCGCCCTGGACCCCCTCTCCACTCCCGCCAGCCTGGTCCTGAGCCAGCTGACCTCCTCCAGCGTCCGCTTGTCCTGGACTCCAGCCCCGCGGCCGCCCCTCAAGTACCTGGTCGTGTGGCGCCCTTCTAGGGGCGGCGTCCCCAGGGAGGTGAGAGATGGCCCTCTGCCTGCCCCGTGCAGAGTCAGGGCTGGAACAACGGGCTCCGGGTGACAAAGTCAGCACGGGCAATGAGCAGAGTGGGGCGGCCCTGCCAGAGGCCCACGTCCTGCGGGCGCACTCTGGTGGCCCAGTGAGCAGGATGGAGCACGTGCGGGTGCGCGTGCCTGCGATGGCCGCTTGGTGGCCAGGAGCTGCACGGCTCCCCGAGCCAGGGGCAAGGCTGCACAGGGAGCGAGAACTCACCCCAGCCTCCCCAGGTTGGCTGCGTTTCCCTGCCCTGCGCCCCCTGCACCCCACCGCCCGCCCACTCCACCAGGGCTGCCGTTACAGGTGGTGGTGGAGGGGCCCAGCTCGTCCACGGAGCTGCTCAACCTGACCTCCGGCACGGAGTACCTGGTGTCCGTATTCCCCATCTACAAGGCGGGTGCTGGAGAGGGCCTGCGGGGCCTGGTGACCACAGGTGGGTGGGGGCGGGGGGCCTGGGCTCAGGGTTCCGGGCTGCCCCCACCCGCAGACTCCTCCTGGAGCCTGGCACCAGGAAGGATGGTGCAGCGGGCACTCATGGGTCTTATCCTGGGTTGTGGGCACCCTCCCACTTGCTGTGTAACTGAGGCTGAATCACTGGACCTCTCTGACCCTCAGTGTCGTCTTCTGAACACAAGTGACGTCATTTGTGTCATCACCACAACCACTACTAGGACCCGTTACTGTTATTGCTCACACATTTATGGGGCGCCCCCACCTGTCCCACCTTGCCAGGCTGCGGCCCCAGGGACTGCCGTGAGCCCCTCTTAACAGCTTCACTGAGACATGTCCTACAAGCCACCATTTAAAGTGTGCAGTTCAGCAGTTTGTTGTGCAGTCAGAGTTGTGTACCCATCACTACACTCAACTTTAGAGCAATTTCATCACTCTGAACAGAGACCCTGCACCCTTAGCGATCACCCCAGTCCTCCCCTCCAGCCCCTGGCTACCCTAATCTGCTCCTGTCTCCAGGGGTTCACAATTTCTGGACCTTTTGTATAGATGAGGCCGCACCATGTGTGGCCTGTCATGTGTGCCTTTGTCACGGGCCCTTTCCGCTGGAGGCCACGGCCCTCCCACCTTTGAGCAGAATCCCACGGGGTGCCCGTTTCCCCAGAGCTGTGAGCCAGACACTTGGCCCAGGGTGAGGTTGGGGCAGAGACTTAGAATCGTCTGTGGGGCGCCACCCCAGGGGCTGTCCTCCCGCTTGTGTCCCCATGGGAGAGCCTCTGTCCCTGGTCCATGGTGTGATTTCTGCTTGTGCTGTTCCCCCTCTTCCAGCACCGCTCCCTCCACCCCAGGCGCTCGCCCTGGCCACAGTGACACCCAGAACTGTCCGCCTCACCTGGCAGCCTTCAGCCGGGGCCACTCAGTACCTGGTGCGGTGCGCACCTGCCTCCCCCAAGGGTGAGGAGGAGGGCAGAGAGGTGCGTGGCAGAGAGGTAGAGGAGGGAGCCGGGCAGACAGGGTGGGGAGAGTGGCCGGCAGGGACCAGCGTGAGGGCTCGTCCCCACAGGTGCAGGTGAGGCTGCCGGAGGTGCTGCTGGACGGCCTGGAGCCCGCCAGGGACTATGACATCTGGGTGCAGAGCCTGAGAGGGGCAGAGGCCAGCGAGGCCCGGGGCATCCGTGCCAGGACCTGTGAGTTCCTGGCCTCACAGGCTGCCGCCCACGCATGGGCAGAGGTGCCACCCTGGTTCCCCAAGCCTTCCATAGGGTGGAGAACCCCAGACCTCATCGGGCAGCCCCCTCAGCCCTGGCCACCGCCCATCCGTTCCCCGTATGCTTGGGGAGGGGTGGCGGCTGGTCCCTGAGGCCGTGCTCTGCTCTGCAGCACCCCCGGCACCCCCCAGACACCTGGCCTTCTCAGATGTGAGCCATGACTCAGCCCGCGTGTCCTGGGAGGGCACCCCAAAGCCTGTGCGCCTGTTCAGGGTCAGCTATGTGTCCAGCGAGGGCGGCCACTCGGGGCAGGTGAGAGCAGGCCGATGTCCTATGGGGCCACTGGGGGGCCCAGTGTCCAGGGAGGCTGAAGCATCTACGGGGGGCCTGGCACCGTTACCCGCACCACGACTCGCAGCCTGGTACAGGGGAAGCCCAGCAGCACTGACACCCCAGCCCTTGGGGGCCCCAGTCTGATGAGACTGTGAGGAACAGATGTGAAGCCGAGTCCTAAAATCACCGTGATGGTCAGCACAATATGACGGGATGCAGCTGGTTGTGGTGTTTGACAAAGGGGTGGGCGTGGCCCCGGATGGCCCCGCCCCAGCGTGGGGTCCCACACCTGCCGCCACTTTGGAGGAAGTCCTGGGCCTGGACCTCCACCTGGGCAAGGGCTGCCCCTCTCCGGCTTGGGGGGTCAGCTCCAGGCCCTGCCTCTGTCCCCACCCACCTTGTAGACGGAGGCTCCTGGGAACGCCACCTCGGCCACCCTGGGCCCCCTCTCCTCCTCCACCACGTACACTGTCCGTGTCACCTGCCTCTACCCCGGGGGCGGCTCCTCCACGGTGACTGGTCGCCTGACCACACGTGAGTGGGCAGCGGTCGGGCTGGGTTTCCCAGGCTGGGCTATGTCCCTCTGGCCCCATGGACGGTTCAAATCAACACGTATGCTTAGGTGTCTGCTCTGTGCAGCCCTGAGCCAGCTGCCTAAACAGGTGTGACAGGAGGGGCAGGGCCCTTGGGGGCACGATGCAGAAGACCCAGGTGTTGAGCAGAAGTGAGGCTGGGGTGCCTCCAGGAACCACGCCTGCACTGGGAAAAGGGGAGAAGTGGCCACAGCAGCCCCGTGAGGACGGGGTTCCGCCCTGCACCCTGTGTGACCTTTGCCAGCAAAACCTCCTTAAGGAGCACCTGAGGGCGCTTCCGATGAATCACCTGAGGGGCTCCTTCCTGGGGCCGTCGTCACAGCTCCAGGCCCTGCCACCCCGCCTGTGTCCCTCTTCCATCTTCCAGGGAAAGTCCCCAGCCCGAGCCAGCTGTCAGTGACAGAGCTCCCTGGGGATGAGGTCCGGCTGGAGTGGGCGGCCGCAGCAGCCTCCGGCGTGCTCGTCTACCAGATCAAGTGGACACCCCTGGGAGACGGGAAGGCCCATGAGGTGTGGCGTGGGGCGAGAAGGCGCCCTCCCACGCCCATCTCCTGGGCTTCCTGAGCACCGCGTCACAGAGCACCTGCCCGCCCGTGGCCTGGGAGCCCAGCCCCGGCGTGTGGACACCTGGTCCCTCCTCTCTGCAGATCTCCGTCCCGGGGAACCTGGGCACTGCCATCCTGCCCGGCCTGGGGAAGCACTCAGAGTACGAGATCACCATCCTCGCCTACTACAGAGACGGGGCCCGCAGTGACCCCGTGTCCCTCCACTACACCCCCAGTACGTGACCCTCAGCTGTGTCGCAGGAGCAGCCCCGGCTCCCCCAGCTCCATGGGCCCGGGACCCCGAACTCCCAGAATCGCTGATAGGCGGTTTCACGCGTTCCTGACCATCCAGCCTGACCACTTGGGTTCTTGGGGTCTCCATGAGCCTTCCGGGCAGGTGTTCCTGGGTGGCTGAGGGTCCAAGTCACCTGGTGTGACAGTGCTCAAGAAGGCCTTGGAGCTGACCTGGTCTGTGCTGAGGTCGCAGGGCAGCGGGGCGTCGTGGGCGGGGAGCAGGGGTGGTTGGGGAGGTGAGGATGGTGAGGGGCACAGCAGGGTGTGGTACAGAGCTGGGGGTGAGATGCCTGCCCGTCTTCTGGCCCCGCCCTCGCTGAGCTCCGCCCGCTGTGTTCAGTCAGCAGGAACCCGCCCTCTAACTTGGCCCTGGCCTCCGAGTCCCCCAGCAGCCTACGGGTCAGCTGGACGCCCCCGAGTGGCCGTGTCCTCCATTACCGGCTCACCTACGCCCTGGCTTCGGGCTCAGGACCCGAGAAATTGGTGGGTCTTGGTGGAGCCGAGAGCCATCGCCCCTTGTGTGCCCCTGGGTCCTGGTGGCAGTGGGGGGACATGGCCCCCCTGTCTGTTGAGGGTGTCAGCTCTTCCGTGGTGGGACACAGACAAAAATAAGCTGAGCTGCCTACGAGAACAGGCACGCAGGAGGGAGGCTCAGGTGACCACGGCCCTCCAGGTCACCGTTCCAGGACCCACGAGCCACGTGACACTCCCCAACCTGATGGCAGCCACCAAGTACAGGGTCCTGGTCTCAGCAGTCTACGGAGCAGGGGAGAGTACGGCCGTGTCTGCCACGGGCCGGACAGGTGAGTAGGCGCGAGACCCCGGACCCTGCCAGGCCCCCAGGCGCCTGCCCCTGGGAGGCCATTCGGCTGGGGCCCCGCCAGCAGGACATGGGGCCTGCTGCTCCCCTCACGGGCCAGAGGGGCAGAGCTGAACAGAAGGGGAGCAGGACTTCCATGTGGATGTGAAGCCGTCCCCACTCGGCAGTGCCTGCGCTAGCTGAGGCGGGGACCAGCAGGGCTCCTGCAGGCTGATGGGGCCAGGCCAGCTGGAGCCAGGCCCGCGGAGGCCCAGGCCTGGGGAACGGACAACCTTCTCCTCTATCTGTGTCTGGGAAGTCAGGGCGCATGTCCGGCCTGTCGGAGCAGCTCCTGGACAGGGCAGGCAGGCAGGGGGCACAGGAGAGGACTGAAAAGCGGCTCCAGGCAGCAGTAGTCCCTGGGGCCCTGCCCCCGAGGCTGGGCGGGACCTGCTGCTTCTGCTGGGCGATGCTGGTTTCGTGGACAGTCACACATAGGAGCAGAAGGCCCTCAGGGCCCGGTCAGCCTGACCACCTCTGCTTCCCTCTGTGTCCCCTCCATGGGGTTACCTGGTTCTGGCTTGAATGCCTCTGGGGGCGGGGGCCTCACTACTGCACGGACAGCTGCCGAGGCGTAACCCCCTTCCCAGCGGAGGGCCCTGTGGGTCCCAGTTCTTGCATTGGCTTGCCCACGATCACTTCCGAGCACCTGCCGTGCACCTGGCAGGTAAACAAGCCCACACACCAGGCTCCGTCGGCGTGCCCGCCATGCGGCATCTCCCTGGCCCTGCCATTTGGGGCACTTTGGGTGGCTGGCACCCTCTCAGGGTACAGTACCCAGTGAGAGCACCTTGGCTGGTTGCTGTCTTCTCAGGGGGGGGGGGGGGGGAAGTGAGAGCCCTGAGATGGCAGGACACCATTCCTGTCCCTTCCCCGTCCTCGAGGCATGGGGACCACAGGCCTGCAAGGACCTGCGAGGGTGTGTACGGCAGTGCGGCTCCAAGCCATGCTTGGACCACAGGGCAGGACAGCTGCCCAGGAAGAGGCCGAGTCCCCTCTCCACTGACCGCCCCTCCCTGTCGTCTCTCAGCAGCCTGCCCGGCCCTCCACCTGGACGGCTCCCTCACAGGTGGGTCCTGGCCTGTGTGGCAGCTGCTTTCCCTCCCAGCCCTCCCCATATTCCTCTTCTTCTCGGGTCCTCATGGGGAAGGGTGGCCTGGTCACTGGGATGTTAGAGGATGTTCAGGCAGCAGAGCTCACGCCTTTACAGGAGGCCCCTCAAGGTTGGCTGGTGCCTGTATTCCTGATTCACAGTCCAAGTTACTGAGGCTTGTCCAAGGTCTCTTGTCCAAGGTCACGGGGGAGGTGTGGTCGGGCAGAGGTGAAGCAGGGGCCCCGTCCAGCCTGCGTGAGCCTCTGCTGACCGAGTGCTGGGCGGGGAGAGGGGCCGCCCAGGGTCACACAGCATCTTCAGTGCTTTGTGAGTCTGAGACACTCCCCAGAGAGGGCTGACATGTGGGTGCTGGCTGTGGGGGTGCGGGGAGGGTAGCCTGTCCTGACAACTGAGTCTCCTGGGGCCTCAGACTGTGAAGCAGTGCGGGGACCACCTGTGGCCGGGCAGTGGGACAGGCCAGGCTGCTCACTTCTGCCTGTGCACTGAGCCCTGGGCACTGAGCACCCAGTGAAATGAGATTGCACGCTCACTTTGTACCGTTAACATTGGAGAAGCCACAGGTGCTCAGCTGGCCAAGTCCAGGTGGGTGGTGGGACCAGCCGCTGTTCACCCGTGACTCCGCTGGGCAGAGGGTCAGACTCAGAGTCACAAGGGACTGAGGGCTGTGGGCAGCAGAGGTGGCGGGGTGATGCCAGGTCAGGACAGAGGGAAGGGGCCTCTTGGGAGTGGGGTGTGGCTGGCGGGGTCTCAGGGTGCCTAGGCAGACCTCTGAGCTCCCAACTGCCACTCACCTGAGGACCCCAAGTGGCCCCTGTGCCTCCTTATTTTCACCTTCTCCCCATTTCTGTGTGTCCCATCTCTGTGCATCCCCATCTCTGTCCTAAGCCCTTGGCTGTGGGCGTCTGCTCTCCGCTTCTCCTGCCCTTCACGCTGACACCTGGTTTTCTCCCTCTTTGCCTCCTGCCCGACCCTCCCCTACCTCATCCCTGTCTGTCCCGTCCAGGCTTTGACCTGATGGCCGCCTTTGGCCTGGTGCAGACAGAGTACGCCTCCATCCGCGGCGTGGCCATGGAGCCCTCGGCATTCGGCCCGACCAGGACCTTCACACTCTTGAAGGACGCTCAGCTGACGCGCCGGGCCAGGTGGGAGGGCGGGGGATGAGCTGTGACGCTGGCCGTGGACGCTGGCTGTGGTCGGGTGGCCTTCGGCCCCAGCCTTGGAGACAGAGGGCGCGGCGCCACACCCTTGGGGCAGCTCTCACGGAGTCCCCAGCAGCCCTGGGAAGCAGTTCTGTCCCTCACACCGCATGTGACATGTAGGGAGCCTGAGGCAGGAAAGCCCCAGCTCATCCCCCTTGACCCCGCTCAGCAGTCCCGCGGGTCTGGGCCCTGGAGAACGACCGTGACCCCAGGCCTGGGGCCACCCCACCTCTGCCCCCCCAGTGACATCCACCCGGCCGCCCTCCCACCGGAGCACACGGTGGTGTTCCTGCTGCGCCTGCTCCCGGAGACACCCCGCGAGGCTTTTGCGCTGTGGCAGATGACAGCTGAGGACTTCCGGCCTGTGCTGGGCGTCCTGCTGGACGGTCAGTCAGGAGGGAGGGCGGGTGGTGAGCCCAGCCTGCCCCTGGGAACCTCGCTGGCTGTGGGTTCCCCTCCAGGCTTGGTCAAGGCATGACGCCCATGGGAGGCAGTGCCTCGGGGTTCTGGGCACGCTGGGCTCTGCACCTGCTGCCCCATTTGGCCCTGGGTGGGCATGGCGGGGTCTCACAGACGCCTCCCTGTGCCCCCGTAGCCGGCAGAAAGTCCCTGACCTACTTCAGCCACGACCCCAGGGCGGCCCTACAGGAAGTGACCTTCGACCTGCCCGAAGTGAGGAGGATATTCTTTGGGAGCTTCCACAAGGTCCTGGAAGGTTCCAGAAGGATTGAAGCCCGCATCTCCCTGTGCCTAAGACCCTCCCCTGCTCCCCAACTTCTGGGACAGACCCCCTGGGGCTCTGCAGGACTTGCATACCTACCTCTCCACAGCAGGCTGCTCGTCACCATGGGACCCCCGGAATGCCAGAACTTTCCTTGAGAGTCACCTCTGCCCCTACGGTCCCCTCTGCCTCTGACGTCCCATCTTAATTTAGGTTGAAGAGCATCTCAGCTCTGCTCTCCGGTCTCGCAAATCCTGGGAGGGCCCACATTGGTGTCATGTGGCCCATGTACAGAGGGAAACTGAGGCCCATGGAGGGGTTCCCACGAGACTTGGGGTGGGGTCAGGCCCCAGGTGACGGGCACTTATCCCCCCACCTGGCTGGAGCTTCAGGGGAACCTCCATGGTGTCTCACAGGTGCACGTGGCCGTGGGCCGCTCCAAGGTCCAGCTCTATGTGGACTGCCGGAAGGTGGCCGAGAGGCCCATCGGGGAGGCCAGCAGCCCACCCGCCACCGGCTTTGTCACGCTGGGGAGGCTGGCCAAGGCCCGGGGGCCCCGGAGCAGCTCAGCTGCGGTAAGCCTCGGTTTCGTGCTGCCTGACCAGCCGGGGGCCAGTGGACTGCCCGCCTTCCCCTCCCGAGCTGAATACCGCTGACCTTGCCCCCGCACCTGTGCTCTGTAGTTCCAGCTCCAGGTGCTGCAGATCGTGTGTAGTGACACCTGGGCAGAGGAGGACAGGTGCTGTGAGCTTCCTGGGTCGGTAGGTGCTAAGTGCCCACCAAGGGCCATAAAGCCTGGGCGTGGACGGGCTTTCCAGGTTGGCACGGTGCTGGGAGAGATCAGGCAGGCTTCCTGGAAGAGGTGTTCTCCAGACACCGTCCTGGCGGCCCTACGGGCAAGGCAGGTTGGAGTGGCCGAGAAGTCCCCAGCTGCAGGCTGGCTGAAGCCTCACACTTGGGGCCACTCCCTGTTTCTGCGACACCCCTGTGCACCCATGCTGAGGGCCTGCTTGGTAGTGAGAGAGGGTGTCCTGCCCTGGGGCATGTGCTGGGCAGCCTGGGCATCGGGTCCCCACCCAACCAAGGTGTCTGAGGCTGTGCTGAGCTCTAGGGTCAGAAAAGAGCCCGAGAGAGGGTCCACGCAATGAGTGGGTCCCCTCTTCCAGAAGGACGGAGACACCTGCCCTGCCCTGCCTTCTGCCTGCCCCTGTTCCTGGCAGACCCCTGGGCCCCCCGGGCCCCAGGGACCTCCGGTGAGTTCAGCAGCCCCTCCGCAGTGACCAGGTTCTCCTGGCAACATCTTGCTGCCACTGGCAGACAAGGGTGGCCCCCCCATGCCCCCACATGGGAGCTGGGTCCCCACAGCTGTCCCCAGGCCTGCTGCACACACACTTCACAGGCCTCACTACCACATCCGTCCCCCCCCCCATGGCAAGCTCCCCGCACCTGCTCCCTCTCCGGAGCCAACCTTCGCTGCTGAGAGGCCCAGTGTGGTCCGTCTTTCCTGGTTGGAGTGGGGGTCCAGGCCCGCAGGCCGGCAGCACTGAGGGGCAGGCCCAGCCCCTCTGCCACCCAAGGGAGGCCCCAGGACTGCAGTGGGAAGGGGTTCATGAGCACCGGCTCAGCAGCGCAGACCCCATCTGGCTGAGAGGCTGCCCGAACCCCAGTCTGCACTGTGACCGCAGCTGTGGGGTGGAAGGGTGGGCCAAGGGCCCTCGCCAGGAAGCCCTTTTCCCGTCCCCACCCAAAGGCAGGGCCTGCAGTCCAGGGCAATGCTGGGCCATGTGCTCCCAGCCTCAGCCTGGCTTGTGTTCCTGCAGGGCCTCCCCGGGAGGAACGGAGCCCCCGGACAGCAGGGCTTCCCCGGGCCCAGGGTGAGTGCTGGGGGGCCTGTTGGGGCCTGGATCCTACCTCCCAGGGGAGGGCCCCCAGCACATTCACAGGAGTGCAGGAGTGGGCCCCACATGGCCCAATTCCAGGGCGGGGGGGGCTTCCTGACTGGGGGCGAGGTGCCCTCCCCACCTGGAGATTGTCGGGTGGTCACTGGCCTTGGCAACGTGACAGGTGACGCGCCTCCATATGGGTCATTCGCGTCCCTCCAAGCAGCGCCTGCAGCCTTTGGAACTTGCTGGGGTTTTCGGGTGGGACGTGTGTCCTCTGGCCCCGCCTCCACAGGCGTGGTTTTCTTGCGGATTGTGAGGTGCTCTGCGTTTTGTGGAAATGAGCCACTTGTCTGTGATCTACCATTTGATTGTCTTTTGACCTTGTTCATGGCCTCTGTTGAGTCAGCTGTGTGGGTCTGTCTCCTGTGGCTTTTGCCTTCCTGTCGCTTGGAAAGGTCTTCCTCAGCCTGAGGGCACGCGTCCTCCCTAGGTGCTACTACTACTTCCAGTACCTTTAACCATTTCAGGGTCAATTCACCTCAATTTATTTTGTTTAAGATGTGAGCGAGGGGTCCACTTCCTGCTCCCCACGTCACTGCCCTGTCACCTGCACCGTTTATTGAACGGCCTGTTCCCTGTCCCTGTCACGCCCGAGCTGTCACAGACTACATTCTGACGCTCACATCCGGCTGACTATGCGTGCAGCTGCAGTCTGCTCTGCCCTCACCTCCCCAAGCCCTCGGATCTGTGTATTATCTTTGCAACCCCCTTCCTTACTCAATTATCCTATTTCCAATAGTTTTTTATTCTCAGATGGTTTTCTTGGGCTTTCCTGGTTTAAACATACATCACCGGCCAAAACCTCCTGCTTGTCCTCTCTGACTTCACTGCTTGTTTCTGTGTCTTGCACCATGAGGGGTGAACTTGGTCCGAGGATGGTAGGGGGAGCAGACGTGCTCGTCCCCAGGCTGGTCCCCAGGCTGGCGGAGCCAAGGCCCACGCGTTGGGTCATGTGATCGAAAAATCCGCTGATTCTCACCTTAATAGTGGATTCGAAAAACCAAGAATGGAGGTTCTGTAAGACTTAGTGCCTCTTCAGCTGCTATGGACATGCTCGGACCCTTTCCCTCCGATGAGCTGGGTGGGTGACCTCAGGGGTTCCTCCACTGAACTCGTGTCCATCCCCTGAGAAGCCAGCCTGGGCACGGAGCTCTCACCCCCGCTGCACGCGCTGCAGGGCGTCTGCTTGCCGATGGTTTGTTTGGATTTCCACATTCACCAGCAAGAATTTTAGTTTTTGTTATTGATTTTGGCGCGTTGATATGCTTGATTCACAAAAAAATATTTCAAAGCATTTTTTTCCTGCAATCTGCTTAAATGGGATTGGTGTCATTCGGTAGAAGGTTCCAGTGAGGTCTGATCTGGTGTTTGGGGTTTTCTCATTCACAAGCTCTGTGACCTGGAGAAGTGGCCTCGGGCCCAGCAGCAGGACCCCTCCCAGAGTGGCCGGTGGTGGTGCAGACCCCTCTGAGGCTGAGGGGCCTGGAGGACAGGGTCAGGGGAGGGGCTGCAGGAGTGGCCTGGCACCTTCTCAGCCTCTCCCTTGCTGTGTCTCCAGGGAGAGCCCGGGCCACCTGGACAGACAGGACCCGAGGGTCCCGGAGGTCAGCAGGGGTCACCAGGCACCCAGGGCCGGACCGTCCAGGGACCCGTGGTAGGTGTTGCCTCCCCTCCTCGCCTCCCTGCTGTCCCCCTTGCCCTTGGTCCCTCTCTGTCCTCGCCCCGCTGCCCAGTCTCTATTTCCTCTCCAGGGTCCACCAGGGGTCAAAGGAGAGAAGGGAGACCATGGGCTCCCAGGCCTGCAGGTAGGGGTCAGACCACACTCGGCACGTGCACAGGAGGGTCTCAGGGACACGGTCTCCTCCTCTGGGTCAGAGTTGGCCCCAGCCTGGCCAATGCCTCTGTTCTCTTCTAGGGCCACCCCGGCCACCAGGGCGCCCCTGGGAAGGTTGGCCTCCAGGGACCAAAGGTGGGAGAGAATCCCGCGGGGAGGGTCTCACAATGGAAGCTGTGGGGTGGGGTTTCCTCCTCGGTCCCCACCCAGTCCTGACCCTACCGGTGGCCTGGCTGGGGGGAGGGGAGCATCAGCCCGCACACAGTGGGGGGCGGGGGGCACAGGTGCGGGAGGGGCGTGTGGGGTGTGAGCCCCCACCCCCCAGCCTGCCTTCCTTTGCCCTCAGGGAATGAGAGGCCTGGAGGGCACTGCCGGCCTGCCGGGACCCCCGGGCCCCAGGGTAGGCACCACCTCCCGCCCACACTCCCCACGCTTCCTTGGGGCTGAACTGAGTGCCCTCATCACCATGAGGGGACCTGGGAGGCCTCACTCTCCCCGGCCCTGCCGGCATGTCAGTGCTCTTTGTCCCCGAGGGCTGCAGCGGCCACCCTGGCGAGTGGGGGGTGGGGGGGGTACAGAAATGCAGCATTGGTGCAGCCCCCAGCCACGCCTGCACCCCAACTCCACACAGCAGGAGGGTGTCTGGGTTCCCAGTTGGCCTGACTGTGGGCGTGACCCCGGGCCCTTTTCCCTGGCCTGGGACACCACCTCTGCTGGGAGGCTGGGCCACCCTCCCCCTCTCAGGCACCTTCTTCCTAGGGGGCCCGTGCTGAGTGGGGGTCCGGGCAGGCAGCCCAGACCCTGCCGGTGTCTCCTGAGTGGGCCTCTGCTGGGTGCCAGGGAGGCCAGCTGCCCCTTCCACAGAACCCGCCCTCGGGAGGGCCCAGAACCCAGCCAGGGGGTGTGAGTGCAGAGTCAGTGCCAGCGGGCAGGGTGGGCAGGGGTCTGCCCAGGGTGCCGGACGAGCACAGCAGGGCCGGGACGAGCTCCGAGGGAGGAACAGGCCTATGGAGGCTGGGCGCAAACCAAAGTGTCTGGTCTGGGCGTAAGACCGTGGTCCAGGACGGGGTCAGGGCTAGCGGGACGGGGGCCGGACTCGCTGGGGGCTGCAGGCAAGCCCTGACCTCTGCGTCTCGGCAGGGTTTCCAGGGCATGGCAGGCGCCAGGGGGACCAGCGGGGCGCGAGGACCCCCAGGGGCTGTGGGGCCCACGGTAAGTTCCTTCCCCACCCAGACAGCCTGACAGGCTGGGAGGGGGTGACAAACGTATGCAAACTCACCCTCCATGATGCTCAGGGAGTTCCTGCAGCCGGCACGTCTGTAAAGCGAGGTCTGTGCATGCCGAGCAAGGGTTTGGGGCTTGTCTGGAGTAGCTAAAGCTAGAGCTGCCCCTTGCCAGGCCCAAGACAGATGGCTGGGGGCAGGTAACGGGGGTTAACGGGGGTTGGTGGGGGTGTCCAGCAGGTTCCCAGGAGCTGGGGAGGTGGCGGCACGTGGGGCAGGGGCTGAGGCCTGCTCTGTACAAGCCTGGCTGACTCGGGCCAGGACGCCTGGCTGTGGGCTGGGGAGGGTCTGTTCTCCTCGGGTTCCTCCCCATCCAAGAGGCAGGTCCTTCGCCCACGGGGGACTCCTGTGGCCAGCCTTTCAGGGATGAGGAATTCTGCCTGCCTCTGGGGTCCCGCATACCTGGCTGCCCTCCTACCAGCTGGACGGGACCCCCAGGCTGCCAGGCCGTCAAGACAGTGAGGGGAGCAGGTGGGGTGGCTGCTGGGCACGCCCAGGGCCCCAGCTTCGCCCTGCTTCTGGTTACCTTCTCTCCTTTTCCTCCGCCTCAGGGGCTGCCGGGGCCCAAGGGCGAGCGAGGAGAGAAGGTGAGTGCACCCGTGTCAGGGGTCCAGGCCCTTCCTGCAGGGCAGGGGGGCAGCGCCAGCCCCCATGCCCCTGGGGCCAGACTGGTCACTGCCCGGGGCCACGGGGCCCATCTTCCCTCTCAGGGCGAGCCACAGTCCCTGGCCACCATCTACCAGCTCGTGAGCCAGGCCTGCGAGTCTGCCATCCAGAGTGAGTGGCCCAGCCTCCGCGTGAGCCCCCGAGCTGTCGCCACACCAGCCAGGCTGGACGGAAGCCCTACACTCAGCCTTTCATGGCCACAGGCCACAGAGCTGGGGGAGGCGAGGGGGGAGGCGAGGGGGGCCTCCCCCACCCACCCTGCCCTGCTGATCTCCCCGCATCCCCCACCCAGCGCACATGCTGAAGTTCGACTCCTTCCTCCATGAGAGCACCAGGCCCCCCATGCCCATCTTGGAGGCCGCCAGGCTCCCCGGCATGCGCAGTGAGACCCGGCTCCCCGGAGAAAGGGGACATGGTGACCCCCGCCCTGAGGACAGAGGTATTGGCCTCCTTGGGGAGGGCTCTGGGATGAGCATGTCTCCCCACACACCGTCCTGGGATGCTCACTCTGTATGGCCCTCAGCAGCCTCTGCACCAGGCCTCCTGGGTGTGGGGACACAGGGCACCTCCGAAGATCATCACTGCAGAACTGGAAGCTGCCTGGCTGCCTGGGGTCCTCAAAGCAGCCCTCTCCCCAGTCTCCCAGCCTGAGCCGGGGCCTCCGCCCCCCCATCTCCCCTCACGCCCCTCCCCTTTCTCCTGCCTGGGACACGCGGGGGGGCTCAGCCCGCTGACCGTCTGGCCGGCCACGCGAGGTGCCTGTCATGGCTCAGAGCTGAGACAATTAGGGGAGAGGGAAGTGAGCTCATGGTCCCCCATGAGGTGAAAGGAGACTGGGGGTGGGAAAGGGGAGGGCAGGGAGCAGCTCCTGCCTCGTGCCCCCCTTTGCATTCCTGGGTGGAAGGGAGGCCCTGACTATGGGAACCCCCTGCCCACCATGGCCCGTCAGTCCCCCAGATGGCGCCTTGGGGTTCAGAACCCCTCTTTGCACCACCCATCTAGACAAGGCTGGCAGGTGTTGTCATGAGGAGCCCACCCAGTGCCTCCCCCACCAGCCCCCACCGCACACTAAACCTCAGCCTACTGGGGGCTCAGGGACCCACGTCCCCTTGGCCAGCACAGGGGCCCCGGGAAAGGCAGTGTTGCTTCCTGCACCCCTCGGTTTTAGCACATCCCCCTTCCTCGTAGGTGAGCCTGGAGCCCTCAGTCAGGTGGGGAGCCCTGGGCCACAGGGGAGCCAGCCTCCGGGACCCCCTGGAGGAGCAGGTGAGCCCCCCCTGTGGGAGGGGCAGCCGGGGTGGGGGTACAGCAAGGACAGACTGCAGGCTGAGCAACGGGGTGTGTCAGGGCCCAGCAAGACTTGGGTGGGTGTGGGAAGCCCCCATAGTGAGAACCCAGGGAGGCCTCGGTCAGGGGTCAGCATGGCAGCAGGTGGGGCAGTGCACCGGGGGACACTGGCCCTGGCGGAGAGGTCATGTGGGGGCAGCGCCAGGGAGTCTGTTCGTGCCGAGGCCTCGTGGCTCTGCCCGGCTGGACTCGCCGGACTCTGGGGGCTGGGTCCACAGTGCCAGGCGGCTGACCGGGTGTCAGCTGGCAGCTGCCTCCCCTAGACCTGCCCACCTTCTCTCTGGCCAGGAGGTTCTCCGTGCTGCCCCGAGTGACCTGCACTTCATCCTGGAGTCCCCAGACACCTGAGCTGTGGTGCCGCAGGAGCCTGGAGAGTGAGGGGAGCGGCGGGAGGCGGACGGAGGTGGACAGCCCTGCCTCTGTGCCGTTTCCAGTTCACATAAACCCAAATGCTCTGCTTGTCAAGCGAGGTGGCCTCTCATTACTGGGGGGGGGGAACGTGTCCTGGGGCCGGCGTGCGTCCCTGTCAAGTGGGGTCGCAATGCCCCACCCCATCTCAGAGACAAGCCCCCATCCTTTCCTGGCCTTAAGGAGCCCCCAGTGGTCTTCCTGTTACCTTGAGGCGCACCCCGAGCTCAGGCCAGGAGTCCTCAGCCTCAGCTGCACTTTGAGTCACGCTCAGACTCCCACGTGACTGTCTGGGGCCCAGCCCGGCATCAGCATCTGAGTATCGTTGGCCCCCCTGCACCCCAAGCAGCCTCCCCTTGGCCAGACGTCCATACTTGCTCACCTGGAAATGAAACCCCAGCAGCTGTGGGCCCCAGGTGCCACCTGTTCCACCTTCAACACCAAGTAGTTTTCTAAACACCAGGAAGATTTGAGGGCCGGGACTCCTTCAGATACGGCGGCCAGTAAAGGCTTCCCGGGTGACAGTGACAGAAGGCAGGAACAAAGTAGGCAGGGCAGATGGCAAAGGTTTCGGGCAGGAGCACAGCACGTGAGAGGCCTAAGGCTGGACCCGGGTGGGCACGGCCCAGAAACCGCAGGAAGGTGGATGGAGGGGACAGAGAAGGCTGAGCACGGCTCTAGGAGAGGGCTCAGTACCCACCTCGGGCGGGCACTGTGGGGACGGGTCTCGTTCTGCCCTGAGAGGGACTGGACGCCACCAGGGTTCTGAGCAGAGAACCGATGTGACCACCTGAAAATAAGACCTGAGGGAGCCAGGTGGGCTGGGGTCTCGGCCGTTGTTCGCCGAGGTGGAGGAGGCAGATTCAGGGCAGGCGGCTGGCTGAGCCCCTGGCTGAGTCGGGGAGACTCAGGGGACAGGCCGTGGGCGGGAGAACAGGGTGCAGGTGCCCACAGTAACCAGGCAGCGAGGGGAGCCAGCGGGTGGGTTGGCGAGTCCAGACCCGGACAAGAGTGCTGTGTGTGCATGTGTGCGCCCACGTGGGGACACGGTGTGTGCATGTGTGCGCCGTGTGTGAGTGTGAATGTGTGTGCCGAGGTCTGTGATGGCTTCACGTGGATGACTGTGCGACGGGTCCTCAGCGCAGGTCAAGCCATCAAGGGCCAGCGGCAGGTTCCTGTCTCCCCCAGCTGCTGTGTGCGTGCGGGGTCTCTCTCCAGACCCAGAAAAGCACATCTGCAGCTGGGCCTGTGCCAGGGCAGCTCCTGGCAGATGCCCGCACAGCCGGCTGCCGTACCGATTACATAAGAGGATCAAGCGCTTAGGTCTGAAATCTGTGTACCAGCTCCCCCCGGGGCCCACGCCCCCCCCCCACCATTCTGGGTGAACTCTCCCAGCATCCTGGACTGAAGCCCCGGACGGCTTCCAGGAGGCAGGTGTGAAGCACAGCTGGGCAGATGGGGTCCTGGGTGGCCAGGGCGCTGAGGAGGCAAGAACACCCAGGATTCAGACACTAAGGTCTCTGCACCCCACTCCTGGGCAAGAGGAACCCCAGGTCCAAGTCAGGGTCCCCCCCATGGGCTCCCGAGTGGGGGCACAGCCCCCCCCCCGGGACCAGCACATCCAGCCTCTGCAGCAACGAGGTTCAACAGATACTTGGCCTGTGCCAGGCTCTGAGCCCCACCAAATAATTCACTCAGTTCCCGCAAGTACCTTCCTTCAGCCCTCAGGCCTCTTTCCGCCAGCCAATGTCACTCGTCACTTTTGGGGAAGGGGCCACAGTGTCCCCGCCATCCCTTCCCCCCGGCCCCCACACTTGCAGCCTGAGGCAGCACTCGCCCACCCACACGCCTCCCAGGGGCAGGGTTTTCCCAGGGTCACAGGGGACACTTGGTGACACCCAGTCCTCTGCCTTGGGGAGATGACACTGGGCCCCCAGGACCATTGTCCTCAGGCCTTCCCCACCTCTGGGCAGGATGACCCTTGCATCCAATATGACAGAGGCTCCTGGGCTCTGCTGGTCCCCGGAGGACAAGTCCAAGGGCAGGAGGCCCACAGGAGGGTCCCCCCAAGGGACCACACTCCAGAGGGTCCCAGAGGAGGCCCTGGGTGAGCTGTTTTCTGGGACCTCCAGCCTCACCATGGCCAGTGTCAGGGAAGCCCCTGCTCATGTGTACGCCCCAGAGTGGGTCTTGGGGGGCTGTGCACAGAGGGGGAGCCCACAGGGAGGTGTGGTGGACAGCATGGATAGGGAGCCCGGAGCCCGGGTCCTAGACACTGCTCCAGGCCCCTCACAAACTACCAGTGCCCATGGGGACCTGGGGTCCCTGCGAAGTGCTTGTGCAAGACACCCCAGCACCCCTGGAAGGTAGATGCCTAGATTCCTGGAGCCTGGGGGGGTCCCTCCCTTGTGGGGGGCCTGCCCCTAATTCTCCTCCAAGCAGAACCAGGTCTAGCAGTTCCACTCCCCAAGGCTCCTTGGACACAAACTTGGGTTTTCACTAATTTAGTGAAACAAAGCAAATCAATACATCCCTGCTTGGACCCAGCCAGGCAAATGAGCTTCCCGTGTGTCAAAAAGCTGGCAGAGGACCCAGGTAGACCCGACACCCCGAGGAGGGGTGGCCAGGCCTCCAGGATCCCACAGAGAGGGCAGGAAGGTGGGCATTTGGGGCTGAGAGGGACACAGGGCGTGGTCCCAGCACATGGGGACTGCTGGGACCTCTGCTGAGAGCGGTCAGACGCGTCCTGGACAGGAAAGCCAACACGTGGCCATGCTCCCAATAAACTTTATTAAGACTCAGGCAGTGGCACCGTCCTGCAGGTAAGAACACGCCGTTACCAGCCCAGCCCCTTTGCCGCCACTGGACGCCCTGGGGCAGGTCCCAGGGGGCTGACGCCCTGGCCGCCCAAGTCCCTCTTATAGTAGACAGAACAGGGCGGGGACAGTCTGGCAAACGGCATGACCCTGGAGAACAGACGCAGGCCCACGACGCTGCCGGTGTCCTGCGGTGCCAGGGCCCTGCCAGCCCGGCCACTAGATCATGCCGGCCAGCCAGGGCGGCAGGAAGAGACCCACGGTGCCCAGCAGGCAGACGATGACAAACACCCAGAGGAAGATGCGGTCGATGACCATGGCGACGTACTTCCAGTCTTCCTTCACCTGCAACACAGACACGTCACTCCCGCCCACCGCCCGGGGCCGCGCAGGCAGCAGGAACCTTCTAGAATGTGGTGCTTTGTGTGGCAGGTTCTCTGCTTCCTATCTTGGCCACCAAGGTCACCAGGGTCACGGGCACACCTGTACTGACGTAACAAGGAGGGACGTGGCCTGTCCAGCTGACATCTGGGCTCAGGGACACTGGGCTGCAGAAGGGCCAGCGCCTCTCGGGGCCAACGTCACAGCCGCCATGGGAGGCGAGGGTTTGGCACTGTGCCCCATGTCACCTGCCGGGCAGGGTATCTGGCCCCCAGGGGTAGACGGGGCTGCCATTGGAGGAACACCAGGGTCTAGCTGCTTCACGGTGAAACTGGCTCTCGGTTTGCTAAAGGTGGGAGGTGCACCATGGAGATCACAGAGTACACCCCATTGTGCAGATGGAGCAAGTGAGGCTCGGAGAGGGGGTGCCCACACCCGCTGGCCGTGCAGGACAAGGACCAGGAGCACCCTGGGTGACAGGGCCTGACCTATAAGCAGAGTCCCAGGGGCCCCATGCTGGACGGCGTGCAAGCACTCCTGCCGTCCCTGCCCTGGGGTGGGCGCTCAGGGGCCGGCTGCCCACATGGCCCCTCACAGGTCAGCGGGGCCCCCAGCTCTGTCCCTGAAGCCCCTTGAGGACAAGGGACACACACAAGAGGCAGCGCAGCCCTGGGCGCTGCAAGCAGAGTCGGGGGGGCCTGGGCTGGGGGCGTCCAGACGTGAGGCCAGAGGGCAGGCCGTGGGCACGGACACGCATGAAGCATGCTGAGCACAGCGCCTGCGGTCGCTCACTTGAAGAAGGTGGCAATTCTGTCCCATGTAGAGATGGGGACAGTGAGGCACAGAGTGGCTAGGAGGAGGAGCAGACCCCAGCCCGGGCTCCCCCTGGCCTGAAGCAGGAGCGACACCTCCCGGGGTGACCCCAGGAGCAGAGGCTCGGGGGCCTGGCGGGGCCACAGCGGGTCCTGTCAGTGCCCAAGTGACGGGAGAAGCAGCAGTCGAGGGCCCGGCCGGCTGGCCTGAGGGTCTGCGAGGCCTGGGACAGGGGCAGGGCTCAGCCTCCCTTCTGCGGGTCCCTCGCCATGTTCTGTCTGCTTTTTAAAGTCACCAGAGGCGTCCTGATGGTTTCAATCAAACCCAAACGGCCTGTTTATTCCCAGGAGCCCTGAGCGCCAACAGGGTCACTTATAAATAAAGAGTCCACCGAGCTCCCGCTGTTCCCTGAGGCCTCGCTGTCCCCACTGTCTTTCATCCGCCCCCTGCGTGTCCCCATCCCGAGGATGAAACACCACTGCTGCCCAACACCACCAGCCTCCAGAACCAGATGCAGGCCTGGCCGTGGAGCCAGGCGGTGGGGACACGGCACCTGACCTGCATGCCATCCCACCGGAACGGTTCTGATCACACCCCTGCCGCCGCCGCCCACGCTCGCCAGCCCTCAGGGCAGCTCACACCGGGCGCCAGTCCAGAGATGGCTTGTTTCATGAGCTGGTGGCAAAACGCTATCCCACAGCGGGCTGCTCCCACACAGAGCTTTCCGGAAGCCTCCAGAATGGCTTCACAGCTTCTTAGGATGCAGTGGGGCGCCCGGGAGACTGACTCACTCACTTCTTGGGGGTCCCTATGTGGGAGCCCCGCTTCCTTTCCGGGGCTCACTCGGCCACCGGGATAATCGGCCTCCAGGGGTCACAGGTCTGATAAACCAGCTCAGCCGAGACCCCAGGAGGCTGTGGCCCCTTCAGAGGAGGCAGAGAGGACGCGGAGGAGCAGACGAGACGGTCAGGGGAGTGTGTGCATCTCAGGCCCAGGAGCACCCGAGCACCAGCACCCCTGGGGGCGGAGGAAGCTGACAGGGTCCCAGGAGAGCAGCGAATAACTGATGGGGGGGAGGCGGCCCTCCCCCGCCACCCCGGAGGCCCTGTCCTCCCGCCCTCACCCGTGCTCTGAGCTGGGGGCCCACCGTCAGCCTGGACCCGCCCTCACGTGTGCCCTGAGACACAGCCAGCAGAGTCCAGGACTCGGGGAGCAGCCCCACCCAGACTGCGCCCCGTCTCCCCAGCTCGGGGGCCGGCAGGAGGGCCAGAGCTGTGTTCCAGACGCCCCCTCCGCTCCTCCCACCAGGCCCATCAGGCTCTTTTCAGCCCTTCGCCCCAGTCCAGGGCCCAGACACCCCTTGTTCCTCCAGGCACCCGCCAGGGAGGAGTGTGCTCCAGGCCATAGGTCAGAGGGGAGGCCCGTGGGCACAGATGGGGCGAGTGGCCTCTCCCTGCTGCCCACAAGCTCCTGTGTCCCCACAATGTGCTCCCGATGGCCACTTTGGATCACCCACCCCAGCTCCACCCCAGGGACCCCGCAAGTGGAGGAGGCTCGGGGAAGAGGGAACAGAGAGTGGGGGCTTGGGCTGCTGCGTGCCCCAAAGCTGGCAGCCTGCGTCTGGGCCCAGTTGCCGGTTTTTTTCCGCCGACCACTCCCTCCTTCAGCGCGGAGAGGGCAGCCATGAGTGTCCACCTGCCCCATCTGGGCCAGGGGCACCTCGGGGTGCAGCCAGGGATGGGGCCTTACCGAGAAGTCTGTGTCTTCTGCCTTCAGGTGGTCTGCGATGTACTGGACACCCTCAACTGCCCGCGTCAGGGCCGGCGACAGGGGCAGGTGCTGGGGTGGGGTCTTGGTGCTGCGGGCTCTCAGGACAGTGTTGGAGGACCCTCTGGACGGCTCCTTCTTGCATTTGCATTTACACGGAGAGGCCTGGTCTGGGGGTGGGAGCTCCGCTGGGGGGACCTTCAGGGAGGTGGGGGAGCTGTCCATCTGGCCATCGGCCTGAGAGGCAGCCTGGTCTCGGGGAACACAGTACTGGATGCTCTGAGACCTGCACCGGACGCCGCCCTCCGCTGCTTTGCTGGGGCTGGACATGTGCTGGACGCTCAGGGACCGGGCTTTCGCGAGCCCGGGGGCCCCGGAGCCGGTGGGTGGGCGGGAGGGGCTGGGCGAGGGGCAGGGGCTGGCTTCCTGGGCCTCTGAGGGCTCCAGGGCGGGGACGTGGTCTGAGGGCGGCTTGTAGGCAGGCTGGGGCTTGACGGGCTCGTCCAGGGGGCCGCAGAAAGACGGGCTGGGCGAGGGGCCCCAGCTCTGGGCTCTGCTCACGGGGTGGGGCTCCCCCTTGGGCTCAGGCCAGAGGCGCGGGGCGTCGGCCGCCATGTGCATGGACTCGATGAGCCGCCGGCAGCTGTCCTTCACCACCGACGGCCGCTTCATGAGCAGCAGGCGCGGCACGGCGTCCAGGAAGACGCGGCGCACCCAGGCGGGCATGCTGTGTGTGCGCGGGGAGCGATGGTGCACGTTGAGCACGAAGACGGTGATGACGATGGACAGCGTGACGAAGATCATGGTGAAGAGCAGGTACTCGCCGATGAGCGGGATGACCAGCGAGGTGGACGGGATGATCTCGGTGATGAGCAGCAGGAAGACGGTGAGCGCCAGCAGCACCGAGATGCACAGCGTCACCTTCTCGCCGCACTGGGACGGCAGGTAGAAGACGAGGACCGTGAGGCAGGAGATGAGCAGGCAGGGGATGATGAGGTTGACCGTGTAGAAGAGCGGCAGGCGCCGGATGATGAAGGCGTACGTGATGTCCGGGTAGACCTCGGCGCAGCACTCGTACTTCCTGGTGTTGTAGGTGCCCACGGCGTCCACGATCACCCACTCGCCACTCTCCCAGAAGTCCAGCTGGTCCACGCGGCTGTGCATGTTCACCAGGTCGATCTTGGCCTTGTCGTACGTCCAGGACCCAAACTTCATGGTGCAGTTCTGCTGGTCGAAGGGGAAGAAAGTGACATCGATGCTGCAGGAGCTCTTGTAGATGGCGGGGGGCGTCCACTGCACCCGCCCGTCGTGGAACAGGTGGGCCTTGGTCAGGTGGGTGACCGCAAAGTCCCCGTCCGCGCTGGGCAGGAAGAGAGAGGGACGGTGAGGCCTGCCGACACGCCGCCCTGACGCCCGGCCCCTGTGTGCCCGCCATTCCCACGTCACCGGCGAGCCAAGGAAGGCAAGTGGCCTCGCCCGAGACCGGACAGGGCACAGCTGTGCTGCTGGCCCTGGGCATGTTACTCGCCTCCCTGCCTCAGCTTAGTCTCCCCTACACTGGGGTGACACACACACGTGTGACACACAAGCTTGTTGGTGATGACGGTGATTATTTGGGGGTTGGGGCAGAGACTGAGGCCAATGTCCTCAGCCTCCTCCCGGGCACCCTGCACCTCCAAGCCCAAAGGGCAGGTGGTGCCTCATCCCTTTCAGTCCTAGGGCTACGAACTAGTCTGCACTGGGAACCACCGGGCAGCCTGTAGGGGCGCCACCAGGGTGTTGGGGGTGGGGCGCGCCTGTCCCCTGGGTAAGGGGAGTGGCCCTGATTCAGGCCTAGTGCAGAGGGGGTGGCTCATCAGAGGGTCTCGGTGGCCATTCTCAAAGCAGGTTTGTGCCCAGGGGGGTCAAGGAAGTCCTGGCCAAGCAGCTCTGAGCAGACTCCTCCTGGGACCGACCTCTGCCCACTTGGCCATCCACGCCACACTGAGGACACGAACATGAACAAGGCCCCTGGCATCTGCTCCAGCCTTCAGAGCTCTGCAAGGCCTCCCAGGACCACACCTTGTCCCCTGCAGGTCACCCCTGGGGCTGTCCAACCACCTTCCTCTGCCCCAGACCAGGGTGCCAGCGACACTGAGCACTCTCAGCACTTTCTCCCGGTTAACCGTGCCCTCCCACCTGTGGCTTAGAGACAGGAAGGACCCCCTTCCTGCACAGGTGAGGACTGCAGACCCATGGAGGCAAAAACCAGGCTGGCCACATAGGTGGGAGGTGACAGGGCTGGGCGTGAGCTCAGGCCATCCAGTTCCAGGGCCCCTGCCTCTCCCTTGGCCCAGCCCAGGCCCTCCCGGTGGGCAGAGTGCCCAGCCTGCAGCCCTGGCCCCGGGCTTCCCAGACAGCAATGTCCCCTCAGCTGCCCCACAAGGACACACACAGGAGGCGTGTACCCCATTGACACAATGGGTGGGAACTTGGGGATACCTGAAAACAACCCCATGAGCCCTCGTCTTCTCCTGGAGTCGGCGGCCGCAGCTGGCACAGCCTGGTCCTGAGTCTGAACCCAGGGTGGGTATAGCCTGGGCTGCAGCTGTGCCACTCTCTCAGCCTCAGTTTCCCCACAAAGCCCGGGTGCCCACAGACAGGGAGAGGCAGCGTGAACCCCCACATGTGCTGTGCACATCATCCTGGTCTCAGCACCGCGGAGCTGCGGGGACCCTCCGCTCTTCGCTGCACCCACATCCCGCCCTCTGCTGCCTTTCACGCCCGCTCAGCTCTGCCCCTGCCTCACGGGGCACCCACCACCGTCTTCCCACACCCCTCCCCCCATGCCCACCACAGCATCCACACAGCCTAGTCCCGGAGCCCCGAGACCCGCTGGTCCTGCCCTGTGCCCTGTGATTGTCAACCCCAAGGGCTGGTGATGCAGCCACATCCGACAGGAGGCCCCAGCGGGCCTGGCCAGGCTCAGGGAGGCACGGCGGCCACCCCAGGACCCTCGGACCTTCCATGCGTGGCACTCAGCACCCTGCTGGGGCCTGGACCTGAAGGTGCCCGAGCCTCCAAGTCTCAGTCGGCACCCGCTGACCCCCATGCACCCTCCTGGGCTGCTGCCCGCTCCTCTCAGCAGGCTGGCTCCATGCAGACCACCTAGATGAGGAGTGGACGCAGGATGGCCTCGTCCAGTCTGCTCCTTTCCCCTCGGCTCCATCTCTCCATAAACCAGCCTCACCCCCTGGAGGCACAAATTCAAACGTGCTCACAGAACAAATGAGCAAACATTCCATTCAGCAAACATTCTGCGGGGACATCAGCGGCTCCTGCTAGTGGTGTGAGCTGGTGGCAGCCCATGGAATGTTCCAGAAGATCACCCATCCCAGGGGTTGGAATCCACACCCAGGGCCTCAGGTCTGGGCTTCTCCACCCAAAAGCCTGGAAAGGGGCCTCCTCAGTGGTTGTGGCCCAGCCAGCACCAGCCACCAGCCCCAGGGTCCGTGCTCACCCACCGCCCAGCCCCATCCAAAGACAGCCTCAGCGCTGACCACAACCCCACAGAGAAGCAGGGTGCCAGAGACCAAGACCACCTTCCGGAGCTGTAAAGGAGAGGCTGGTGCAAGGCAAACTCTCTGGCTGTGTTTTTGCAGGGCTGACACAGCATCTCGGCGTACAGAGGTGGTTTCGGTACACTGGTGATAAAACATCCCGGGTCCCATACATTTGTTGCAACATTGGTTGCAAACATCCTGCAGCTGATTCAGGGAACATCCTCTGCCCAAGGCCATTTCCTCCCCTTCCTTGCCCCGCATAAGCAAGGCTATATAAGCGGCTAGACTGGGTCACTGCCCTCCCATCAGGAAACAGTTGTCCACCTAGCTCCCGCTTTCAAGTATTTGTCTATCTTTTCTTAATCCTCCATCGCCCCCATTCTGGCCCGTTCGAATAGCCGCGCTGGACGCGGCAAATGGCGCCTGAACAGGGACCTGAGTACGGGTGAACTCCGAATCCGCAGACGAGAGGACCGCTCCACGGGAAAGCGTCAGCTGATGTACAGAACTTTTGAGGTAGGTGGAACGCAGTACAATCGCTAAGTTAATATGGGGCATTCAGGATCTTGAGATCGCACTCTGTATTTACAAGTGCTGCAGTCACTGCTAAAAAATAGAGGGTAAAAAGTGCCCAGCAGAACATTAGATAAATTCCTGGGATTTGTCCAAGAGACGTGCCGCCGGTTCCCGGAGGAAGGGACTGTAGATATTCAAAACTGGCATAAGGTTGGAAGAGACTTGAGGGAGCGCTACACCCAGGAGGGGCCTCAACATTTGTCGGTGTATACGTTCGCTCTCTGGAAATGAATTAAAGAATGCTTGGATCCCACTAATCTGGCCACGCGCGACCTAGACTGTATGTCCTCCGTGCCAGGGGATGGCCAGTTATCCCCTGAAGAGGAAGAACAGCTAGAAAGAGCGGCAAGGCAGGGTGAGCAAAGGGAAGGCGAGGATCCCAGTGAAGAGGAGGAGGAGGAAGAGGAAGACATATTCAGCGCTTTTGTGCATAAGATGTCATTAAAGGAAACTCGGGGAATCGCGGGGCCGCCTCCTCCACCGTGGCGGCCATCCACCATATACATAGGACTGCGGCTGCCGCACATAGATTGGGGACGGGAACAGCGGGAGGCGGGGATCGGCTCAAACAAGGGTTTTCTGTGCCTTCCTGCAGATCGCGGGGCCGCGGGGCACTCCTCTCCAGCAAGCTGTACTAGCAGCGGAGGAGCGAGGGGAAGATGTTACTGGCTTTCACAAGTGGTTCCTGGTCTCTGAGGTTCCTGACCCTGCTAACCCAGGGCCGGTGGTCAGATGACATGAGCCCCTTCAGTTCAAACTGTTGAAGGAATTAAGGATAGTGACTCAAATGTATGGGCCGACGGCACCATTTACTTTCTTTGGTAGAGTCCATCTCCACTGACGCCTTAGCCCCAGCTGACTGGGAAATGGGGAAGGCGTGCCTCTCAGGTGGGGATTATTTACTATTTAAGTCAGAATGGCACGATGGGGCCGCGACCCGGCTAGGAGAAACCAGCAACACCTGGTCCCCATTTCCTTTGAAACGTTGACAGGGACGGGTGCCTTCGCTGGTTTAGGCAGTCAATTAACCTATGCAGTTCAAGCTTACCAACAGGTTCAAATGCCTGCGAGTGACGGAAGAAAAGAGGATCCCTCGCCAGGCAGACGTGGGAAGTCGATCCCCCGACCTGGGGGCAAGTGAAGAAGCTGACCGGAAGGGCTACAGAGATGTTACAGCGCCAAACAAACCCCCAGCCCCTGATCACATGTTCCTAGCTATGCTGGCCATGATTACTTCCCAGTCGGCCGAGGGCTCCATGGGAAACTCATCCGAATAGCCACGGGTGCGCATTAGCTGCATTTACACACACAAAAAAGGGGGGAACATGCCGGAGACCAAGACCACCTTCCGGAGCTGTAAAGGAGAGGCTGGTACAAGGCACACACTCTGGCTGTGTTTTTGCAGGGCTGACACAGCATCTCAGCGTACAGAGGTGGTTTCGGTACACTGGTGATAAAACATCCCGGGTCCCATACATTTGTTGCAACATTGATTGCAAACATCCTGCAGCTGATGCAGGGAACATCCTCTGCCCAAGGCCATTTCCTCCCCTTCCTTGCCCCCAATAAGCAAGGCTATATAAGCGGCTAGACTGGGTCACTGCCCTCCCATCAGGAGACAGTTGTCCACCTAGCCCCCGCTTTCAAGTACTTCTTTGTCTTTTCTTAATCCTCCGTCACTCCCACTCTGGCCCATTGGACTAGCCTGACGGACGCGGCACAGGGTCCACCCCACTACCTCCCACAGGTCCTGGCAGGGGGAAAGAGAGAGGGAATTTGGTGGTGGCCCTCCGCACCTCTGGGCTGCAGCCTGGAGGCTGTACAGGACCCAGAGCTCATGGGAGGGGTGTGGTCCTCCCCAGGGACGTTCTAGCTCTCTCTGGAACATGAATGTGCCCCTGGATCCCAGAACATTAAGCTGATGTGTGTTCTCTGGATCTAAGGTCCTGGGGGCGGGGTTTGGAGAGCTCAGCATGGACCCCAGGAAGGCTGGGGGGCTCTGGAGTGGGGGGGCGGGGAACGGGAGGACTCAGGGCTCCTAGTTCAGACCTGGTGGCTTTCAGAGAGCAGACAGCCTGCCAGGGCAGCGGGGAAGGGCTGCCGCCCTCCCCTCCTCAAGCTGACCCCCTAATGCATCCCTGAAAACCATCTCCACGCTCCTTCACGTGCGGCTGCTATCCTCGCTGCCATTACTGGAATCAATTAAGTTGAAGAGGAACCCAGTCGTTCTTAATCAAATAACGTTTTGTAGGTCAGGCCCAGCCCCTGGGGCCCTGGAAGGGGCTGGAGCAGGAGCCTTTTCGGTTCCGGCAGTGGGGAGAGCAGGGGGCTGTGGCCAGAGGGCCGGGACCAGGGGAGCTAAGTGCTTCCAACTGCTTCATTATAAGTGCCAGGGAATCCGAGGCGTGCACTCAGCTCAGAGCAAGGTGGCCCACTCGGTCCACTAAGTCCCCCCGGGGCTCACTTGTTGTACAGGACGATGTCTGGCCGCCAGATGAGCTCAGAGGGGATTCTGATGGAGGTCACATTCTCATAGTCGCCAGGGTCCCAGCGCAGCTTATAGTCATGCCACTCCTGGGGGAGACAGGAGGAGAGAACCACCTGAGAAGGGGTGTGGGATAGGGGCGGCGGGGATGGCAGCGGCGGGCATGTCCCCTCCCACTCACCTGCTTCACCCACACGTTTGTTGTCATCATCTGGTTCTTCTCGTCCTAGGACACAAATGAGAAGGGAGGTCGTGACCCCCTCGGTCAGGGTGACGGGACGCATCTCTCTCTGGTCCTGAATGTCCTCACCCACAAGGACAGGCCAGAGTTGAACATGGAGAGGGACTGAGCACCTCGTCTCTAGAGGCAACCAAGCCCAGGATAGCAGGGCCCAAGGAGACAGGGATGTGGGGACAGGGGCCCCTCCTTGTAGGGGGACAGCCTGCCGCTTCTGGGCCCCAGCACCTCCCTGCCCCACCAGGGATTTTCAAGGTGACAGGGCCTGGCCTTCCCCAGCGGCTGTGCCACCCCCGCCCTGCATGCGAAGTGCTCCCTGTGCATTCTTGCAAAGTCAGCCCAGGCCGGGAAAGCACCCAGACGCCTCAGGCTCCTCACAGGGTGAGCTCACACACGCAAGCCTTCGCCTCCAGACACAAACCTGCAGCAGAGGCACAGAGCGGGGCTCAGATGCGGGGGCAGCCCCTCCCGCCACACCGCAGGCCCTCCAGCCAGCACCCAGGACGCCAGTGAGACCGGCTCACCACGCATGCACGCATGTGTGGGGCCTGTCCTTGGCCGGCCCCAGAGCCACAGCACAGCCTGGGAGTTGGTCCCACCCTGCCTGGTGCTGCCGTGGAGCCTGGGGTCTTGGAGCTGGTGTGCTCCCTCCTGATCTCAGCCTCTCCTGGGCAAACCGGGGAGATGGCAGTGCAGGGAGTGAGAAGCGAGCCCCAGGGAGCTCAGGTAGGCAGCCAGTGGCCGCTTCCACCAACCGCCACTTGGAGCCGTGTTTGCAAACCCCAGCGGTTTAGGAAACCTGGACATCTCTCGTTGCCTTCTGGCTGCAGCCCAGCCAGGAGCACTTTGTAGGAACCATCCAAGGCCCTGTTCCAGGTTGCCTGCTGGCAGAAGCCTGGGCAGCTGAGGACAGGGCAGACTAACCGGGTCTCCCTGCTAACGGGGTCCATGCTGGCCCTTCTGTCCTTCTGAAGGTGACCAAAGCCCCTCCCACCTCCCAAAGCCCCCTGGATGTCACTCTCTCGGCCCGAGGTGGCCATGCTGTGCTCAGCCCATTTCACAGATGAGACAGGCAAGCAGTGGAAGGTGTTGCCATGACGGCACCAGCTTGACACCAGGGTCTCTACAGCCCTCACAGAGTGGATCCGAGGTTGGGGTCCTGGAAGGGGAATGGGGTGGGCATTTGGGGATATCTGCAGCCCCCTGCAGTTGGATCCTAGTGTGGAAAACTCCAGCCCTTCCAAACCTAGTAGGCCGAGGGCCTCCTCATGGTGAGTGAGCCAGGCTCCCAGTGGCCCCTCCCCGCCAGGTTGGAGCCCACACGCCAAGGTCCTTGGGACCCCCACCCCAGGCTGTGCACCCAGTACCCAGTCAGATCACCCCCCACAGGATGGGCCCCCACCCCAATTAGGTGCCCCAGCACTTCCAGAGCAGTGGCCACTCGGTGGCCGGACCCCTGCACCTTCCCAGCAGCTCTCTTGGTCCCTAACCAGGTTCGGACGAGAGGCAGGTCCTGTGTGCCCCAGCTCAAGGCCCTGCCCTCCCCTCCCCCACAGGGAAAACCAAAGTACCAGGTTTTCAGCAGTGGGTCAGGAACGTCACCTTCAGAAGCAAAGAGCAGAAAACACCTCTGTGGGGTGGGGGGCAGCCGTCCAAGAGCATGGACACCCCAGACCTGTCCGGGCTCACCTGAACCCTGCACTCTAGACCGGGGGTAACGGGGCCTCCTGGAGCAGCTCCCGGTCACGTGCTGCCCCAGCCCGTGCACAGCTAGCACAGAAGCCCCACAGCCCAGCCACACGCAGGCCTGGACAGCCGCCCCCACCCCACAGGGGTGTTTTCTGCTCTTTGCTTCTGAAGGTGACATCCCTGACCCACTGTTGAAAACCTGGCACTTTGGTTTTCCACGTGGGGGAGGGGAGGGCAGGGCCTGGAGCAGAGATGCAGAGGACCTGCCTCTCGTGGGAGCCCCACCGCCAAGGCGTTCTTGCAGTCCTCCCGGCTCCTCCAGGCTCCCCAGCCCTGGGGCCACCTCAAGGCTGGCCTCCTCCCAGACACAGGTGCTCTGTCGCCATGTGTGACAGCCGAGGCCCAGAGCGCCACAGTCCCCACCCCCACACCTACCACGTCAATGAGCTGTGCGATCGACAGGCCGAAGTGGACAAGGACCACATCCGAGATGTTGGCCACAGGCCGGGACCACTTGTTGTAGCCAGAGAAGAGTTTCCTCAGCAGCCGTTCCTCTGCGTGGGCCCGGGTCTCCACGTGGCTGCTCGCTGGGGGACAGGCAGGCATGTGGCTCAGGAGCAGGTACTGTCCAGGCTGCCTCACTCCGGCCTCACTCCAGGCTGCACTCAGCCACCTGGCTTCCTTCCAGCTCCTCTTGGTACATGCCTCTCACCTCAGGACATTTGCACACACTGCCCTCCAGGCCTCGGGTTCCCCGCTACCCCTGGTGTAAATGTCATTTTCTTAGGGGAGCCTCTCCAGACCTCTGAGACCCCTCAGGCCTTCTGAGCCCCTGCATCTCACACAGAAATGGACAGCTGTTTCAACAACTGCGGCGAAGTCTGCGTTGGAGGCTGTATCTCCAGCGACCAGCAGAGTCCCAGAACCTTGCCTCAAAGCACCAGGTGGGCTAAGTGCAGGGTGAGGAGCAGAGGGCAGTGGGGGCAGGCCCAGGCGGGAGCTGGAAGGAGGACAGCCTGCTCCCTGTGGCTGCCAGCAACCCTGAGTTATCGAGTTATCTATCACCCAGAAGGCGCTCTCGTCCCCTGATGCCTAAGGGACATTTTAAGTGCTGACCCTGACAACCAGCCCAGCATCCTGTGTTCTTGGATGGACACATAGATTGCCCTCCACGAAGGCTGGGGGCAGCCCCCGACTGGGGAGGACGTGGGGGGAGCCGTCATCACCCAGTCCAGCCCCATGGGTGAGCTGTGGTCTGAAGGCCTCCCCTGGTGACTGCATCATGAGGGGACTGCTCCCTGCTCTCCTCAGCTTGCCCTGCTCACCTGTGAGTCACAGACAGGAGCTGAGGAGGGCTCACACACCCCTGGGGTCCATCCTGGACCCTGACACTGCACTCCCAGCCCAGAGCACCGACCTTGTCCCCTGGTCCCTTTGACCAACCAGGAAGATGTAGCCACTTCTCAGTGGGGGCCGGGGGTTCAATTCCCTCCACGTCCCCTGAATAGCAAGGTGCTGCCCAGGGGAGGGGCGGGGGCGGACTGCAACTCCCTCTGTCCCTGTGAGCCTGGGGAAGCAGAAAAGCACAGAGGCCCCCCTCTGATCCCCCCTGAACCAGGAGCAAGCGTGTGGACGGGGTCTGCAGGTTAATTTGGTCTGATGGGGGCAGGGGAAGGGTGAGATGAACCCCGCCTCTCTCAACCCTAGTAGCAGCTTCTGGGTCCAGCTGCTGAAACAGCAGCCCCCACCCCACCCAAACCCCTGTCCCGCGTTAGCAGGCGCGTTAACTCCTTCCGTGCCTGGCTCCGCCACGCCGCAGGACAGCCTTTGCGTTTCGGGGGTGCCCCGCTGCGCACACCCGCGGCTTGGGACCACAGCCAGGAACCTCCCCTCCTCTGGCTCCGGAGGTCCTGGGCTGCCCTGAAAGCGGGCGAAAGGGGGCCAGTCCAGCGCCCGAAACTTACCAGGCAGGAGGCCGACCCCCAGCAGCAGCAGCAGCGCCAGCGGCGGAGGCGGCAGCGCCCCCGGACCCCCGAGCTCCATGGCGCAACGAGCGAGCTCTAGACGCGGGCGGCCGCTGTCTCCGCCGCGCCCCCGCTCCGAGGCCCGCGAGCGCCCAACTTCATGCCCCCCGCGCCGCCCTGTCCGCCCGGCCTGGCTCGGCCGCTCCTCGCGCGGGGCTGTGGATCCGCGGCGCGTCCCCGCCCGGCCCTGCCCGTCTCCAGCCGGCGGGGACTAGAGGGAGGGGGAGAGGGAGGCAGCCGGAGGGAAGGCGAGGGCGGGAGGGCGGAGGGAGCGGGACCCGCCCGGAGCCGACAGGGGGCGCGGAGGCTGGGCTCAGCCCGCGCCGCGCGGGTCAAGGTTCCCTCGTCCTCCCGGGGCTGAGAACGTGCTCGAGCCACGCGTGGGGGCCGCGGTCACTGCGCGCGACTGGAGGGTCCCGGCGTGGGTCTGGCTCCGGACCACGAGGCGCCGCCCCGCACCCCGACCTCAGTCCCGGCTGCCCGCAGCCTGCCCGGGGTCCGCGCGCCCAGGGGTCCTGGGAGCTGGGCGGGGCGCCCCGCACACGGCTGCTTGACTCCATCGCCGCCGCCCCGCTTCGTAGTTCGGGAATCGCAGGTCCCTCGCCATCCGCCCGGTGCGGCGTCCAGGAAACAGCCCGCACCTACCCGCCCGTTCCCGGCGCACCGGCGGCGCGCGGCGGGGCGCCCCGGCCCTGAGGCTGCCTTACTGGGGAGAGCAGAGCCGCGTCCGGCTGCCTCCCGGTCGGGCCGGGGCGGGAGTGCGCCCCACCTCCTCGAGGCCGGCGAGCCCTGGGCCGCCGAGGCCTGGGGCGCCGCCCACCCCACGCGCTGTGGGCAGTGGCCGTGGGGCGGCCGCGGGGGGTCTCGGGCCCAGGTGCGCGGAGAACAGACCCCCGGCGTCCCCGGACCGATCAACGCTGTGGGCCACAGCTGCGATCCCGCCGGCGGCGCTGGGGGACCCGCAGGGGCTCCGCCCTCGGGCAGGTCAAGGTTACCGCCCGCAGAGCCGCCGGCGCCTTGGGAAGCGCCCGGGAGGGGCTGCTTCGTGCAGCAGAACCGGTCTGCGGCGAGGCGAGGCGAGGGCGCGCTCCGCAGGAACCAGGCGGCCGCGGTCCTGTGACCACTCCCCCAGTGCCCGGGCTCCGCGGGGGGCCGAGTCCCCCACAGACTTCCCTCGGCATGGGGCAGCGAAGGAAGGCACCCCGCCCCTGGAGGACCAGAACGCCTGTGACCGCCCCTGCCCAACCCCCTCTCCAGCCCTGCCCCCTCCCATGTCCTCGTTTGTCCACTGGGGCAGGTACAAATGGAACTTCCAAATGCGGCGCGCTGTGTGTCCAGCCTCAGCAGTAGGGGTTTCTCACCGTCTGTCCCTGGGCCTCCCAGATTCTGGCCCAACCCTTTGAGAGGCATGAACTCACAGGCCCTCACAGAACCCCGAGGAGGCGGGCTCTTGGCTTGTCTCTGGATGGGGATGAGGAAATTGATGCCCAGAGAGGTGAAGCCACGTGCCCAAGGTCACACAGCCAGTAGTGAGATTCTAACCCAGGCCACCTGTGTTCAGGGTCTGCACCCCGGCTTCCTCCAGGCCCAGGGCATAGCGTGTCCCAGGGCTGGCCTGTGCCCCTACTGAGGTGACCTCCAGGTGGCACCCATGGTCTGTTCTCCCCTGGAGCCAAGGGAAGTCTGCCCTTGGGGGAACCCCTTGGACCACCCAGCCTTGCCACTTTGCCCTCCTTCGGACCAACCCACAGACCACGGACCGAAGCCCCTCCAAACAAGACCTCTTGTCACCCCTCTCCTCCTTACCCGCCAAAGCCCCTCAGGCAGTGCCAAACCCTGGGTTCTTCTGGCATTGTATGCTCCTTCCGTGAGCCAGCTCTGTGCTAAGAACTAGAAGGCTGGTGAGCAGGCCCTGCCTACCACTGACAGGGCACCAGGGAGGGGCGGGGGGGCCCCAGACCATCCCCACTACACGGCAGGCAAAGGCAGGGCTGCTCCAGGTTCTGAACCTGCCAGGGTCCCCCTCTCGGAGAGGGGCCTGGGGAGGGTGATGAGACTAATGACCCCTGCATGGGAAAAGTGAGTACAGCCTCCTTTGTCTGTATATCCTGTTGTGATGAGAAATCCCACGACAAATAGGACGGTCCCGGATGGGATGGTTTTCAGAGCTGATTCCACATTCTTTTATTAGTGGAAGAAGCCAGCCGTGCTCCGGGCTGGTTTCCCAGCCATGTCAGCATCTCCAGGAAGCAGAGGTCATCATTACGCTCCTCCGGCAATCTAGGAAGGGAGGCATAAACAGGGCTTGTCACTGGCTGATAAAGTGATGCTCGCCTCATCCTGTCATCCTGTGCCACACAGGCCTTCTGAGGTGAGGCTGCTCCCTCATGCCTCTGCATTTGGGCTCATCCCCTGGGACTTAAGGTTGGGTGCTGCCGAGAATGTTAGAAGGGTGCATGGTGAGCTGGGCCAAGCTGTGGAGGCTTCCTGGAGGAAGCGGCACACAGGATCGTAGCCCCAGGGACCATGGAAGTCCACTCGGTCATGCACAGGGGATAGTCTGCAGTTTGTTTAAGTTCCAGGTTCTGGCAATTCACCCTTGGAGTCTATTCAGCCTGGGCAGAGGCCCCAAATCTGTGATTTGTGACTGCCATCTCAGGCAGCGCTGATGCTGGAGGCCTCAGACTTAGAGCTGACCTGGACCAAGGATTCATGTGGAGGACAGGCAGGGCCCCCACCCCTGGCCAGGGCTTGGACACAGCCTGGCGTCCTGGCCTGGGCAGGTGCTGGAATTGCCCCCACGGCACACGTCTACAGCAAAAGAGGCCCTATGTCCTCAGCAGGAGCAGCGCCAGGCAAGGTCAGCTCTGTCCTGTTTTCCCTCACTTTGGCCAGCTCAAGCAGCGGGGATGGTGCTCTCATGGCCGTTCCCACAGGTGAGTTCAGCCAGGGAGCCTGGCAAGGCCAGCAGGGCTGTCTCTCCCGGCGCCCGAGGCTGGGCTGGGTTAGCGCCAGTCCTCAGGGCTCTGACATGCACACTCGCACACATCTGCCCAGCCTCGTTTAGCTCTCCCAGTGGATTTGCTAACGCGGCAAGATTAATCGGGTCTAACTCATTAATTTGCACAGCCTTCCCTCCACCTGGGCCTGCTGGAAAGCACGGGTTGTGGGAACCTAGTAATCATCTCAGCTTCTGAATTAGATTTTTACTCCAGGCCTCTAGGCCCCTCCCTGTGGCCGCTGCTGAAACGGTTTCTAAGGGAAGGAAAACCCGATTTGCAGACAAATGAGACCAGCTCTGGAGAGGGGCACCTCCACCCCCCCAACCCCCCACCCTGGAGTCCTCTGTGGCAGGACAGTGTCCTCTGAGGGTGATCACGGATGGGGGCAAGGGGAGGGAGGGTGTGGAGCAGGCTCCTGGAGACCCCCTCCCACATGCACACACCGCCCCTGCCGCCCCCCAGCGAATGTCACACTAGCTCCAAAGACTGCTGCTGAAGTGGAAAGTCATCTCTGCAGGAAGGCCTTTCCCCTTCCGTTGCCCTTTCCACCTTCCACCCTGTCCCAAGGACATTTCCATGGTAACCAGTTATTGGTGTAAGCAAGGATTTGAATTAAATAAAGGTGGGAGCTTCGGCTGGGTGCCCAGTCTGAGCTGCATGGGGTGTAGGCAATCATGTAGGGGCTAAGGGAGGCGACCCTGGGAGGGAACAGGAGAGGGCCCTTCAGCACCAGGCCCAGTGGTGCTTCCGTGCCCCACGGGAGCGCAGGGCAGTGCTGCTGAGCTCAGCTGGGAGGCAGAGTCCTGCCTGCCCTCCCACAGCTCTAGGGGACTTCTCCTCCCACCGTTCAGCCTGGCCTCACCCAGGGATGGAGGAGGTCCATCCCTGGCCTGCTCAAACCTCTGCTCCACCCTGGTGACACTGTACCAGGTGTCCCTCCATGTCTTCCTAGGGTCAGCCATAGCAGCCCTTTAAAACCCAAATACTCCTGAAGGAGGGGACCCATGTGAAGTGCAGTGCTCCTTTGTAACTAAGCTTTCCAGAAGTGTTCTCTCTCGCCCCCGCCCCCCACTCCCTGACTTCTGCCCTATACCAGCTTTATGTCTCTTCCTAGTGCTTGTCACCACCAGACATCATATTGCATGTCTTCTGTTGCCTCTCCTCTGCCCCGACCCCTGCTGACAATGTAAGTTCACGAGGGGAGGCTCTAGGGTTTGCACACAACACCTGGCTCTTATTAGGGGCTGAGTAAACGCGTTGAGTGAGTGGATAGATGGATGGATGGATGGATGGATGGATGGATGGATGGATGGATGGATGGATGGATGGATGGATAGATGGTAGATGGTAGATGGATGGATAGATGACTGGATGGATGGATGGATAGAATAGACACCCCCAAGGAGGGCTCCAGCCTCCAGGTGAAAGCAGTCTGCAGAGGGAAGAATCGGTTTGTAAAAAGTACAAATGATGGGCACGTGTGCCTGCTTCCAGGTTCACAGCTGGCCCAGCAAACAGCGGGTGCTTAGATGTGAGCTTAAATGCTGGCTCTGCCCCGACCAGCCAGGCACCTCTCTGAGCCTCGGCTGTTAAGTGCGGGTAGTGACAGCCCCCAACTCATGGGGCCGTTGTGAGGATGGAGGGAGGTCGGGCCAGCTGGCATTTAGTACCTGGCTGGGTGTCTGTCAGTTGCTGACTTCTCACTGTTGCTGTGGCTAAAATTGCCATTAAACAGAAGCCACCTGGCGACTCCTGCTCTGTCCTTTCAGGGGAAGGTCCCTGTGCCAACAGATACAGGGCTGGACGCAGGATTGCAACTCAAGTGCCTTCAGAGTCCAAGCATTGAACCCATGGGCCAGGCCCGGTGTGGGCCCTGCCACCTTCCCCAGGGGCCGCAGCATGTGCCAGCGGCATGTGCCAAGGTCTATGGCCAAGGACCGCCACACAGGGCTCCATCGCAAACAGCCTAACACGGGACCCAAACGTCAGGTCTCTGGGCGCCTGCCCACCCCTCTAGCCAGCGGACACAGACAACGGAGCCCTCCAGCAGCGCCCCTGAGGCAGCCGTTAGGAGAGGGAGAAAGTTCAGCTTTTTGTGAAGAATTACGTCCTGACAGGCCACCGGCACAGAAAAGCCTTTTGTCCCGGCCAGCTGGCCACCTGCCTGTGACTCCCAGCCCTGAGCCTTGCAGACATCCCAGGAGGATCGGATGAGGGCCGAGGGTCACGGAAGGGAGCTCAGGGGGGAGGAGCAGGGAAGACCTCTGTGGAAGTCGCTCTGCCTGTGGCTGGAGAGCTGCTGAGCGGAGCCAAAGCGGAAGCCCTGCAGGGAGGGGCCTCTGAGCACGCCAAGCCCACCCCTTTCTCCTTCACCTCTGAGACACCTGCCCTTGCTCGGCCCCAAACCTGGCACCAGGTAGAGAGGAGACGGTTGCCGCTGCAGACGGAGCTCTACCTGGGGTCCCCCACCCCACTCCGAGGCCTGGCCCATCTGGGACAATGGAAGAGCCACGTTGGGCTTGGCCAGAGCCCCTTGTGCTTGTTTTGCACGAGTGGGGTCTCTCTGGGGTCGGAGCTGCCTCAGGCTCAGCAGAAGGCGCAGGAGAGAAAGCCCCTGTACCCCCACCCAAAGCCAGCTGGACGGTGCAGGCCCAGAGGCCATCAGAGATCCTGGAGGCCGCAGGCCATGTTTGCTCAGGGAGCTGCTGGTAGGTGGGAGCTCAGGTCTCCGGGCCCCGGGGTGATTCCAGCTCAGAGGCTCCCTGTGCCGGGTGGGCGCCTGGATCTTCTAATCATCACATTCCGTCCCTGGTGCTGTCCCCCCACCAGAGGCTGCTCAGCACACCAGAGCACTGGCCGCCACTGCCCCATGGGGGCCACCCTGC